CCAAACATTCGGTAGAATTTATAGAATATTGTAAAAATTATGGTCTATTACCAACATATATATAAATAAATATATATATATATATATATATATATATATATATATATATATATATACAGTGAGTGAGAGACAGTGTACAGTATGTACCTCACCGTTAGTTCAAGTGGGTTCAAGTTGACACACCATATTTATATATATATATATATATATATATATATATATATATATATATATATATATATATACGTATTTATATGTATTGCTAAATAATGTATTGCATCTTTGCTTTAGCGCATTGGTCCTAAAATGCTCGATAGGGAAGGCAAAGAAATTCCAGGTAACAGAGGTTACAGGTGAGTTCATTGATTGATTGATTAATTGATTGGTTGATTTATTTATGTTGTTTATTTAATAGAATGTAATTGAAGTTATTCATTATAATGTTATAATGTCACCGAACTGACATTGAGTTACTTTGTTTTGAAGGTATTTTGGAGCCACAAGGGACTTGCCTGGAGTAAGGGAACTATTTGAAAAAGCACGTTGGTAACATTTCGTTTTCATGTATGCCGTTTTGTTAATAAATTGTTTCAATTGTTGCACCGTTAAAAGAAAATTAATGTTTGAATAATGCTTGGTAACAATTTTCAATTTATTTTCCAAAAATGATTCTGATCATTTCTCCCTTGCAGCCCCACCACCTCCAAAGAAGACGCGCGGGGAATTCATGCAGAACGTTGATGCGGATTATTATGGCTACAGAGATGAAGATGATTGCATCATATTTGAACAAGAAGCTCAGAAAGAAGCTGAAGGTTGTCAAACATTCAACAATTGACTTTTTTGTCTGTTTCAATCTAAAATTTTGTATTTATAAGTTGCATCTTAAGCAAACGAATGTTAATTATTTTTAAATTTAAAAATGCGTTTCTTCCAACTAACTCAAATACTGAAATTATTTCAGTCAGGAAAAAACTAATTGACAGTTGGAATGAGTCAGCAAAAAATACCGTTAACAATGAAAAAGATGTTCCACCAAGAAATGATGTAAAATATTTCTCATCAATTTTTAAAATTTTTTTTTAATTTTATAAAAACTTTATATTTTTTAAAATTTTCTATATTTTTTATTAAGTTGAAATTTCAATATTTGCTCGTAAACAACCTTCCAAGGTTGAACCAGGCATGGAGACCTGCCATGAGAACCACTTGAAGAGTTACCACGTTCCCGTACCTTCACAAAAAGAGGTTTGTTGGCTTGGTACTCTCGTCGGTTTCAATTGTTTCTTTAATTTATATTTTCACAGGTTCATAAAGTTTTCATTCCCTTTTTATTTTATTCTCTAATTACGCTCATTTTTGTTTTGCTTTTTAAAAATTTATGATTTAACGAGGCTTCAATTAACTTATATATGAAAAATTGTAATAATAATGTAAATTTATTTGCAAGTTATTTGAAAATAAATTTTTTTGTATGTCATCATTTTAGTCAGCTACTGTTTGTTTTTTGTTGTAACAGTTGTGAAGCATGCTCTTGGCTTCCATGCAAGAGATCATTGACTGCTCTATGTTTTCTGTATATGTTGTCTTGCGCTCGATTCTTTTGTTGTTTGCCCCTCAACTTTATATCACATGAAAATATCATACAGCATGAACTGAACATTTTATTTTCAGATCGAACAGGCGCTGGTGATAAGGAAGAAGAGGGAGATCCTGGAAAAGTACGCCAGTGAGGCCCTGCAGGTCAGCGAGGAGGAAACAAAAAAATTATTAGGCATCCTTTGATCTTGCTGGTCCCCATGCTTCTCTATGACTGACTGATTGATTGTTTTTTTTGTTGCTTTCTTTCAATTATAATAATATTATTAATAAAATAAATAGCGCGAGATGTGTTTTTTTTAATTCCTAAACTATTAATAACACATTAAAGACATCTGTCTCTCTTTATCCGATAACCATTTTTGAAAAACGAATATACGCAATTCTATGATATTGTGTATTTATCACAAAAATTATGAAATAATAAAATTATGTTGTATTCAAACCACAGTTTCTTGACAGAATTGTTTTCTTATGATAAAATAAAACTGTTCCATACAAAATTATAGATATGAACTTTGCTACAAGTATGAAACGGAAATTTTATAAGAAAAATAATAAGTCGATAGAGAAATAAATAATTGGCATCTGACAAAAAATTGACCAGAGCATCATAATTCATTCATAGAGAAGAAATTCCCCCATTAAAAGCAGATGATTTAAATTTTGAACATACTGTTGAGTAGACAATCTGAAAGAAGTAAATTAAAAAAAACAAGCGGTGTTATGTAACGATTATGTAATATAGCATGTAATAATGCGTATAACACTTGCTAGCATAGGTGTGCATCAGCTGTATATTTGGAGCAATAAAATTCCTCAAGTTCCCACCCTACAAGTTGAAAAAACTGTTCGTTGATTTGCTTTTTTCTACGCAGATATATAAATTTTTGACAATCCATTCTGTTGAGATTTTCGAAAGATAGCAGAACAGGTTAGTTTTAAAGGAAAATACATATTTATCTAATACGGTTGTGTGTAATGCATGCTATTCAACAAATTTGATAGAAAAGATGTTTAATTTACACATCACAGTATGTTTTATTTTATATTTCAATTTTTTTTTGTTAATATCGAGGTTAATGTTATTGCGAACATTTATTATATTTATTGAGTACGTATTAATAACACGGAAGACAAATATTAATAAGAATGTTTGAACATTGGATCGTCAATTAATTGGCAACCTGCTAATAGTACTCGCAGATTTTCCAACACTTATCTAATAAAATTTAAATTTATATGATATGTACAGCGTAAACTTGTTTAAACTGACATAATTATACACATAGCCACGTCTACACACATCATACAAAACACACACAACTCATACAAACAACTGGCAACACACAAAAACACATATAGAAGTAAAACTAGGTAACATTGTTTTAATATAATATACAATTAAATGCGAATGATAATAAAAATATAAATTAATGTTATTGGACCTTTTTCCATTTACTAATGTTTATGATTTTTTTGATTCAATGGTTTAACAACAGTAAAAAAATCAGTAAAACACCAATAAAATATAATTTTATATGAAATCGGGATTATTTAAAAATAAGTTATTGAATAAAGCAGTCGGTTGGTCTAATTGATTAAAAATGATCTCAGGTTTTCTGATGATGTTCATCAACCAGACGAGCATCCATTGCAGACGTTTACAGAAGCTGGTTGAGATGATGTATGATACACGATACATGATACACGACACACGATACACGATACATGATATACGATACACGATACTGATACATATACATGGGGAGCGATGAAGGTTATGGATTTGCATATCAACAAAAACAAAACAAAAGCGATGATTTTAGGAGAAATGAAAATAGTTTAAAATTTCAAATAAAATCAATAAAACTAAAAAAGGTCAAGTGAAGCAATCATACTCAGCAAAAACATATGTTCAGAAAATATCTAACAAAATAATTATTATAGCACGAGGAATGTCTACAGCGTTAAAAGAAGCTTGTGAGTGGTAGGTACTATAGTTATAGCTGTCAAGAGGAAGTTTGAAAACTAATAAGTTTTTGTAGATCAGCTAGACGCAGGAGACGAGCAGCAAAATCATAAGCATCTAACATGGAAAATAAGAAATACGTCGTATTATAGATTGATTGAATGTTTGCTAAAAGAGAAGAAATACTAGAAATACCTGTCAAGAACTGGGGGAAAATATTATTATCATATTTGAACAAGAACGAGCAACATTGAAGAACAATGAAGAGAAATGCACGAGCTACTGTACGTAAAGACAAACACAATACGATAGGATAAATTTTTAAAAGCAAACGTCTGCACTTGTACCGTCAGAAACAGAGGGTTGAGAAGCAATAATTTTAAAATTGATGTCATTTCTTCGACAAAGAGACTGCATGTATGTACGTACATGTACTACACAGGCGTCTTTATTAAATGTAAATATTTGAAAAAATTTCATCGATTCGTATGTACGTCCGATCGCATTTTATTTCACCGCTTCACCGCCGCATACACAACGTACACACACACGCACACATACACACAAACAAAAACACACACACACATATATTATACACACGCATAAACACATTTTTACGTTTTTTAAAGATAAACATAACAGCCGCATCAGGCACTCACACACACACAGCACAAACACACACACCCCAAACATATACACAGACACACATATGCACACACACATACACTCGCGCGCGTTTTTACACAATATCCATATCATATGATATATATCCATGTTTGAGATCCACGTGTTTAAGATACCCATTCATGCATTATATCCTATACCCTTGTATTTAAGATACCTATCCATGTTTTAGAAATTAGATCCATGTATTTAGGATATCCTTTCATGCATTAGAAACATGCATTTAAGATATCTATCCATGCATTAAATTCATGTAGGTATTTATGATATCCACTTATGCGTTGAAGTGTCATAATCCATGTTTGTCCTTCTGTTGTTTGTTTTCATCTGGTGTGAGTGTGATATTGAGATGTCAAGTCTCTTCATTGATTTATTCAGAATCGAGAATCGAATCAATAAAAAATTTCGTACAAGCGCTTGCCGTTGTGGGATGTAAGAGTGCCTACTGCCTATTGTATGTGTTGGCGTTCATTCATGCTTGCTTACTGGCAGAATACAATGTACGTATTGTGTTGTACCGATGTTCAGCGATGTTCAGCGACGGACTCATATACATTTGAATATTCTTGAAATGTTAAAGCAGAACTGTTTTTGTGAAAAAATCCTGATCAATGTTTACCATGCCAGTGTAAGTGCTGGAGATGTTTTTTGAAGCACAACGTCTTCTCTTCAATACACTACCATGTATGTGTCTACAAGTATTACGTAACACGATAGAAACCAACGATTTAGAAGGATTCGAACCAGGTCACAACACGATCGTTTGCCAGGATGATGAGAACCTGCTACACCACACGACACGGCACTGCTACTGCCTGAGCTAACTTGTACTCTGTTGTTTGTAAGTCCGTACGCTCCTGCACTGTATGACTGTTTGTACGCCTGTATCGAGTTTTTCGAATTTGCATCCACGTGTTTATATGTGTGTATTTTTTTTATATAAATCTGCACGCATTATGTTGTTTTATGTATTTCTACATTTGTTCTAAATTCGTTTTATTTTGTGCAGTAGGTATGTTTGTACATTTGCTTTTCTACGCGTATCTTCAAATAGAATTGTACGTAAGCAGGTGTTGTATGCACGCTTCCATTTGTATTTATATTTTATCTAGATTGTTGTACACTTGTTTTGTATGCTATTATTTGTATGCAAGTGTAGGGAGGCGGTGCACTTAGGGTTGCCAGCAAAACTTGCATCTTAATGTTACTTATTGAATGCAAATCGATGAAGAATGCATTAAGTTCTCTTCTGACCGCTGAAAGGTAACGTCTCCCCGAATGGAAAATGTGATAATAATTGCATTATTTTCCATCTTTACAAGCCGATGACAACTATCAAAAATGAAACAGATGGATTCATATAAGAAGCAAATTGAATATTCAAGGTGATGTTTAATGTTAACAAGTAGAAAGATGCACAAATGACCTATTAATTTTTTAATTTTTATGTTTCTATACACCATCCCGTGCAAACATCTCGCGTTTACAAACATGTTATGTGCATATATTTCTGCAAACATACATGTATGAACATTTATACGAACCTTCCGCACAAAAATTTAATGATCCAAAGACGCTTCTGTTACTTTCTGCTCTTTCTCCACTTCAGATGAATTTTATTTCTACTATTTATTATTATTATTACTATTTTTATTATTCCTCCAGTTACAGTATGTACACAAAACACTTATAAACAAACAAACAGCTTTAATGCAGTTGTTGTTTGTGCATTCTCGTGTTTACGTTATATCACTCGCCTCCATTTGCCTGATGTTATATACCTTTTGTTATACACTTTTTGTTATATCATCAACTGTTTTTATTTTATATAAACTTCAGTTAGAAGTGTTTTTTGATAGAATATTTGTTAACACAGAAATGCACTGGTGTAATGTTGAAGAACGCATGCATGCAAGATTTATGCCGCCCTTATTTCGTATTTATACTGCCTAAAGTCAGAAAAATTATTTGCTATTATTAAATAGGTGAGTTTTTATTATGAAGTAATAACGTTGATGAAAATGAAAAAAAGAACAGGCTGTGAAACTTGTGCATATAATTATAAATGAGATTAAAATGTATTTGATAAGTTTGTAATATTTTTGAGTAATTCAATTGACTTAATCAAATGCTATTAATTTATGAAACTATCGTCAGTTCAGTGAAGATTTGTTACTGGCACCGTTGCAGATACATGGCGGCAAGATGCCGAGAAATTAATTAAAAGAGATAAAAAAAAGCTTTTTTCTTACAAAACGAGTTGAATTTTCATAAGATTTTCATTATTGGCATTGTTTTCTTTTCGACAAATGGTAGTTAAAATAGAATTTCAAATACTTGAATACTAAAAGAAATCACCGGTCTTTCATATAAATATTCATGAGCATTGCATTACAAGGGCATTTGAAGGTCACGCTCAGGCTCAGCAAATTTTTTATATCACAGTTTTTATTTCTTCTTCTCTTTTAATGAGCAAATGTTGTTGAATTTATTTGAATTTGACCATTTATTGATCTTTGCTTCACAAAGCTAAATATTTATGGCCAACATTTGTTAAATAGAGACTTGAAAAATGTTTCTATATCTAAAAAAAAATCAAGCTTTCATTCTCAAAAGCTCAATTATTTTTTTCTCAATCTTACAATTTTTCATTATTGATTTTTCTTTTGTGATCAGTACAACCAGAGTTCGCGCACACCTACACACATACGCACCTACACACATACGCACCTACACACACACCTACACACACATCTACACACACACACACACACGCACACACACACACACAGCCCTCTATCTATCATAAACTCTAGATAACCCTGTTTTTAAAGTGATGGTTTTGCTCTTCATCGAGGAGAAACAAATTATGTTTACTTTTTTTTTCTTACCCAATACAAAACAACAAACGCAGTAAAGGCAAACAAAACACGATATACAAACAAACAAACAAACAAACAAACAATTAAACGAACTAACAAACAAACGAATGAACTAACTACGAACAAACCAAAAACCCGAATAGGTTGAGATATTCATCTGAAACCTCATAAATAGACGTTAAAACAAAATAAACGCTCGACATGACGATTATGTTAATAACAGCAGTATAACAATTTATATATGCCTGGCATCATTGTATCATAACAAAGTGTCGAACAGCCCAACTATTGCACTCCACTTTCAGTTGACTTGGTTCGTCTCTTTAAATTTAGATTTTATTTACTTCTTGTTAAATATTGCAGTCATATTTGATACTTTTGTGAGATATTTAGCTTTTTACTTAATTGATAACAAAATTTTTTCACAAAGCTTGTTTTTGTATTATTTTTAGCATTACTATACATAAACGGTAGGATAAACAGGAATTTTTGAGGAATTTATTTTATGACATCCCTGATATAATGCATACAGGTTTTCAGTTTTTAAGAGGAATTGTCAATTAATTTTATAATTCAAACATCAAAAATCAACATGTATGGTTAATTTTTTTGGCTAGAAACTTTTATTAAAGCGTAAAACAGCATTTTGTTAGCAGCATCACTTTCAGAAAATAAATTCTATTCGCTAGTCCGCCAAGAATGTTTCCTTCATTCCATGGCAAACATTTTTATCGTTCGCAGATCATGGCAGATGAATTGCAAATTGTTTTGTGACTGCTTTTAAAATAATTTAATAAATTAGTGAATGAGTGAGTGAGTGAATGAATGAATGAATGACTGAATGAATTAATGAATGAATTAATGAATTAGTTACGCAGAGTACAGTACCTCATAACGTTCCCTAATTTAACATGGAATTCATGCAAGACATTATTATAAACAAAACTAAATAAATCCAATAAACATTTATGCCATGGACTTTTCTGTTTGTGCAATTTGAATTAAAACGTCCCTCTACATGTATTATTAAATATTTGCCGCGTTTTCACCGTCAGCTTTTTATCCCAATTGAACATTTTGTCATCAGTTGCTGATCTACACAAACCAATGCATATTAATTAAGTAATGTTTATAAATAGGAATTTTCACTTTTCATGTTGAAAAATGGCTACTAATATGAATGTTAATTAACAGACTGGCAATGCTTATCATGCGTTTTGTTTTTATTTCATACATAACCTCGACCACTCTTTGCACATATGTATCTACTTCGCTTATTGATTCATATTTTAAAATAACTCAGACGTGCTAAAATGATAAAAAGACAGTTATGCAACGCATTTGTCCATCATTGCATAATGTGTATTGTATGTATAAATTTATTGTGCGTATATATAGCTTTGCAGGAGTATCTGTTTGGTAGCAGTTGTATGTATGTATGTATGTATGTATGCACAGCACATGTATGTGTAGTATATATATATATATATAGGAGTAGTAGTAGTAATAATTGTAGTAAAAGTAGTAGTAGTAGTAGTAGTAATAGTAGTAGTAGTAGTAGTAGTAGTAGTAGTAGTAGTAGTAGTAGTAGTAGTAGTAGTAGTAGTAGTAGTAGTAGTAGTAGTAGTAGTAGTAGTAGTAGTAGTAGAAGCGGTAGTGGCAGCGGCAACGGTAGTAGTAGCTGTAGTAGTGGTAGCTACGACAGTAATAATAGTGGTAGTAGTGTTTATAGTAGTAGTGACTTTGCTCTGCAGGAGTATCTGTTTGGTAGCAGTTGTGGAAAAGTAATGTCACAATAACATGTAATTTCATTAGCCAACAATATGCCACATCTGATAACAATATGCTACATCTGATCGTTATAGCCCATTCAATAACCGTTAATCGTGACAATAATATGACTAGAATTGAAGTAAAGTTAAAGATGATAAGCATAATACTTTGAAACGAGAAGCTATTATTACTGCCATTACTACCACTACTACTACTACTACTAAGCGAGAATGATAGATCGTAAGAGAAATTGAACCACAGACGCTAATGTTTGTTCTCGAATATTTAAGCAAAAATAAAAATCTTTACAAACTGTGTGTCATTATTTAAAATGAATTGCTAAGTGATAAAAAAATACTATATCTGCGAGAATTTTAAATGCTGTATATAATATGGTCTCCTTTCAGTATATATATATATATATATATATATATATATATATATCAGTAAAAATTAAAAAAATGTTAGATAGGAGAAAAATGGCTACAAATGAAATAAATATATATACAATTTTGCCTGCGCATATTCACTAAACACGTAGTCAGCCAGTCAGCCACCCACCCACCCACCCATCCATCCAACCCTGCTCTACATGAAAGAGTGATGAGGAGTAAGAGGAGGAGCAAGGCATTTAGCATACATGGATGCATTTGTGGGTAGTTGTTAGATGTATGCACGTGCGACGCTTGCATCTCTCCATGCATGTGTTGTGTATATATTTTATTCATTCATTTGTGCATGTATGTGAGTTCGTTGACTTGCTTGCGCGTTAGAGGCGCAGTGTTTAGCCAGCATTCATGTGTTTGCTCCATGCCATTCTCGCAACAATGGTTCTTATCAAGATGGAGGTTTAGAACATTTTGCTTAGATGCAAAGGATATTTTGAGAATTATAAATATGGATCAGTTTCTCCGTGATGGCTGAGCGAAACAATGAGCAAACAATGCAAAAATAGGCGACAAGTGGCGATTGAAAATAGAAAAAATAGTTGCGATAAACACGCCCCTGTTAATAATTCATGCTTCCCTTTATGTTCGTGCTTCAAAACAACCCACCACTTCAATAGCATACCTCAAAGTAAGTTAATGACATTTTAAAATATAACGTAGTAATTAAATTAACATCAAAATATAGTTGTAAAATATTTTACATAGGCTTTTTGTTTAAATTTTTGTAATTTTAAGATTACGTAACAATTTATATTATTTATTTACTACATTTATAAATATTTTAAATAAATGTTTGATAAAGATCCAAGAACAATTTGCAACGAGGAAGTTTCAAAACAGTTAACAACGTTAAAAAAATCCTCATCACCGGCCTGCCCAACAATCGACACCATGTCCTCAATGAAGCAACCCTCCCAGCAACCTTCGATAAAAAAACAACTTCACTTTTCAATTGAAACTCAATCTGACGACGCGGAGAAAGCCAAGGAGGAAGATGATTTGGACTTCAAAATGAAGCAGAGACGCCGCAGTAGTGTGGCAAAAGTGGTCAAGAACGTACGCAGGTCAAGTTCCTTGGGCAGTCATGAATCTGATGGTCAGTTTTGATGATTTTTATGCATGGTGTTTTATGTACCTGTGTTTTTTGATGTTATTCAATTAGATTGTGATGATCTAAATGCATGGATATTTGTACGTATCCAATATCAATGTTTTATGCGTGTAATGCAATCGATCCCTAATCCACTCAACTTGTTGGGTTCCAAATAATTTTTCAATTTACACCAATTTGATGGTACAATTTTAATAATTTTTTCATATTTTCGTTTATATTTTTTGTTCTCCAAATCAATTTCTTATAATTAGCAAGTCTTCTATTAATATCTTTCAAGAATGTCTGTGGTTTTATTATTTCTCGTTTTATCATTTAACTACAGTTTTTTTTATAATAATATTTTTAGTTTTTCGAACATTACTTGTTCCTTTGAGTTTTGTTTCTAGATTGTTGATTCTTTCTTCAATGGCATAACTGATTGTAAATTCAAATTTATTTTTGATTTAATTTCTTATCTTTTCTAATTTGTTGTTGTTTGTGTTTCCACTCTTTCACTAATTTTTAATTAGTTCATTAACTTTATCAAAATATTGTACAATCGAACGCGATGATCCGATCTTATATCTGCACTTGGAGAAGTTTGCATTGTGTGACAGATTTTATCCACTTCTCTTTTATTACACTGAGACTAATTTAATTTTTTATATAATGTATTTTTAAAGAGCACGTGTCCAATTCAATTCGTGTTCAAGTTTCTGCAGAACTGCAAAACGCCAGACATGCAGGAGGCATCGTACATGAATGTACTGCAGTACAACATTGTACAACAGTGTACGTACATGTATGTTTACACTGAAATTTGATAATTTGTATTACAGATCAAATAAGTGTACATTGATCGTGTACGTGTGAGTTTAAGTGTACAGGCAGCCTTACATGATCATATAGATACACATTTTGATTGCACCTATGAGATGCGTTCTAATCGACACTATTAGCACAGGCATGTATCACTGTATGAATGAGTGAATAAAAATTTATTAGTAGTAGCGTTGTTGTAAGGCGTGTGAGTAGTTTTGCTAATAACATTAAGGAGACTATTTGTTTAGTGCTAGGAGGGTTGCTGCTTTTGTGAGAGAGAATGCAATTCGGCAAGTAATCCACTTAGAACGGAGGCGGGAACTGCAGCAAACACTTTTCGCGTACCTACACGAACCTACTCGTACTTTACACATACTTCACACGTAAATACTCTGTCATAAAGTTATCGTGCGAGAGAGCTTACTAAAGACACGATTAAATTGTGTTACCCGGCGTCCAGTGATACGAACACTTTCACTACAAGTCAATAAAATGACACAGGTTGATCGCAAAATTTTTATAAAAATCCTTATCATCTGATTCATCAGCCAACATATTATCACTAAAATTATTTTCATGAATTTTCGCTAATAAGACGAACAACATAGTTTTAATTTAGAGTTATAAAGTTTTGCGATGCAAAACAATTTTTATATTCGTGACATTTGGCGTGGTGATGTATGAATTAATTATGTCTCCGCAAAATGTTTGCCCTTTTTTTCATGAGGAGAGAGAAATTTATGGCACGCCACCTCATGTTTTTCACACTTCTGAGAATTGTTGGAAGTTTTCGTGGAAATAATTCTTCGCTCATCTCCCACATACAACAGTTTAAATTCTGGCTGAGCGACGCTTTTTTGTGTACAAATATAAATAAAAATAAATATATAATTAGATATGTAAATGATAAATGCACGTGTGAATGAATGAATGAATGAGTAGATAAACAGATGAATGAATGAATGAATAAAGGAATGAATGAATGGATAAGTAAACGAATGAATGAGCAATGTTTATAGTTATTAATATTAATTATTTACTTAATATTTAACAGCTGAAATAACATGAAGGAATTATAAAAAAAGAGTGAATGGATGTCTTTTTATGCTGTCATAAATCTTCGTGTTCGTCTTTAAATATAAAACATATTTTAGTTTTTTGCCTGCTACGAATGACATTTTAAAATTTTTCAGGTCGGAAGCGACTCAAAAAAGCAATTTCTGCAAACGTTTAAATTTATATTTACTGAAATTTAATGCACCTGAAATGAAAAGTTTTAAAACTCCAATAATTGTTTTCAATGAAAACGCAACAACAATGAGTTGTACCTGTCGGAGATAAACTTTTTTCATTTCTATCAGTTTTATAGTTTTCTTATTGACGCCAAAAAACAAAATAAATTTTTATTCAAGTAAATTTTTGACATTGCATTTTCTGAGTCTGGCAATAAAAATGTAGAACTCATAATCTACTAAAAAATAATTTTTTCTCCATTCATGGTTAGAAGTTATTTCTATAGATCGTTTGACAATTCTGATGACTTTAAAAATGTCATGGTAAATATTTTTTTAATTTCTAGAGTGAGATTGAATGTACTTTAACGATTAATTTAATTTTAGTTAAATTTGAATAATTGCACAAATAATTTACAAGAGCAAAACATTTTTAATTTTAATTCATTCATAACCCAACGACCTTCCAATTCACAATGATTTCAGTTGTCTAGAAATGTTCGTAATGTTCAAGCACTTACCGTCACACTTGCAGTAGTTCAGTAGTTTACATAAAACAATTTTCAACTTTTTCTACAATACTTGCTAATGGTTGCTATCAATTGTTATAGATGTTCAATTAAATTTAAATGGACCCGATAGTAAGCAATCTAATATGCATGCAGATGTGCGTTTGAGCTCGGTTTCTAGGCAATGTAATTTAGTTAGTAATTTTGAAGTGTTAACTGGCTCAAATATCAAAAACAAAGCGATCAAACAACTCATCCCAATGAATCAACTATGCCACGTCAGTCAGAATTTTACAAATGTTTGAGTAAGTACTCTTGAAATTTGCTCAGATGTTCATACATCTCCCAACATATTTGCAAGTAAAAGGTGAAATTTTGTTGTTAATGAAAATAACGTTATTAAAAACTAACAATAATTTGCGCATCTTTAAAGATGGTATTAAAATGAAAAAAATTTGTTTCGAGTATTTTATAAATAAGGTAGCAAGAAATTGTACGTTGATAGTTAAGTTAGCACATCATGATGATAACCAAGACACCTTTCTTTGTTCAACGCATTTGAAACTTGGCACGATGTGACTATCACGCTGTCTTCTTCATTACGTATGATAATGGATTCCCACACACATACGTCTATGTTTTAATTAGATTATACTCTGGCATTCACTACCATTGTTGTTGTTGCTGTTTGCAATCAGTACGCATGAATGTATGTATCACTGACACAAACACACACTCCACGCACACACACACATTACACAAACACACACACACGCAACACACATACACACGCACAACACACACACACATCAATTTTACATAACATGTTAAAATGTTAATAATGAATCTGGATAAATTTATGTTCAGTGGATATATATTGCTATTATAGAATGGGTGGTTACTTTATAATGGCTGACTTTGACGTTTAGTTATGGTTACAAAGTAACTGATGTTATATTAATTAACTTGTATTTAGTTAATTGGTTAATTGTATGTTTTATCAGCTAGCTCGTATGAATCAATTAGTTGAATGTCATGTCAAACTATTTGTATGTGAGGATCAATTAATCAAATGTTGAATCAAACAGTCATCCTGTACCTTGAACGTATTTTTGGTTCGTTTTCGTTTTGAGGACAAATAAAATATTTTGTATTTCCATTTGTAAATAATTTGTATGTATCATTAAACTAAATAAATGTTGTATCAATTAATTTGCATTGAACAATAAACATAAAATCTTTTCATTTAAAATTTTATTTAAGAAGGATCAAGTTCTGAAGACGAAGAGGACTTGACGAACCCTCGCGAATGCAAACAGGTCTGTTTCATTAAAATTCTTCTCCTTCATCTACGTTTTATGTTGTAATTATTCAGTAAATAATTGAAAACTGCGAATATTTATTATTTACAACAAGACAATCATACGTACAAAGTTTTTAGAGTTGAATTAACCTTAATATTTTTTATTTTTACTTCAATTAAATTTTCAAACGCTGGTACTTGGAAAAAGAATTATAAATATAAACAATTTTATCCCATGTTCATTAATATTTTACAATAAGTTTTCTACTTCTTATCAACTTCTTATCAAAAACAAAATTTTTAAATATATCTTTTCTAAAAATCATTTTGCAATGAAAGACTTAGAAGGTTAACATTTCTGACACAGGCAAACCCCAACGGATTCAGTGATTTTTGTGTGAAAAACATCGAACACGCAACCAAAGGAAGAAATGAAATCAAGATGGCTGAAAGAGGTTTGTTCTCTCTCTCTTTCTCTCTCTCTCTCTGTCCTCTGCCTCTCTCTTTCTAAAATTTCGTTTTTTCTATCTTCCTTTATTGTTTCACTTATAAAAAAGATGTACAATGCAAGCATTCACACTGTTTTCACTTATTTTCCAGGTTAAAAATTAAAAGCTTATAGTTGTGGCCCATGATTTATAATAACGGTTGTCGGGAGTTACTACGGAAAACAAACTTCATCAAAGTATCATAAATACTAGAAATAAGAATAGTTACTAAATATGTCGTATACCATAGTCTCCCAACACTTACTGCATATTCAAGTTTGGGTCTGACTGAACCCTTGGTACAACTGCAAAAATGAAAATTTATTTAAATTACAATAATTTCTATTAATTAAGTCCAGAGTGCTAAGTGCTTTGTTGATTTGGTAGTCTCAGAAATATGATTTGTAAATTTTAATTTGTTATCAAATGAAACACACCAATCTATAATTTCTTTCTTACATTCTAACTGTTGTTATCAAAATTATAACCTTTACCCGTGTCTATGTTACCCTTTAGTTTCATGACTCCACACTTGTCTATTTTAATCTGAACTTTCCAATTATTACACCAATCTGCAGTTCTATCTAAACATCGTTGCCATCCAATCATATTCTCTTCTCTATTTAAAGATTTAAACATTTTAGCAGCATGTCCAAACAGATACAGATTTAAATAATTTCCATCACAATCCTTGAACATGTAATTAACATAAATTATTACAAGTACCGGGCTAGGAACGCAATGTAATGAAGTCAGGCAGTGACGTGATTGGTCATGATTATTCAAACTTGTCATATTAGGAATAATTTTAACACGGAGATATTGGTTCAAAGATAAAAATTGATGAAACGTATCTAAAGTAAACGAATTACTTTATAACACTATGCAACGAAATACAAAAAATGACCCAACACAACACAACATAACACACCACAACACAACTCAACACAACGCAAAACACAACACAACTCAGCAGCAGCAACAACAACAACAACAACAACAAAAACAACAACAACAACACAACAACACAACACAAAGCAGCACAACACATCCTTCTACACGTACGTACAACATGCATCCTATTTATCGATTAGTTCCTTTCTTAGCTAGGTTGCAAGTGACCATGTGAGGCTGCTTTTCCTATTATAAAATTATACATCATACGTGTTTATACATACATCATACATAATTATGACCCATAACTGCAGGAGATATTTTGTTGAGTATCTGCTTATTTCTTGCCGTTTCCCCATGGAGAGCTTGAAATGTTTGAAATGTTGTCCAATGCCTTTCGTTTGTCCGTTCGCAGGCCGTCGCTTGCTTTTAAAAGTGGTGCATTGTAAGGTCTGAAAATGATATGGAATAATTTTTATGAGGTAAATTTTTCATTTACCTTGAAATGTTATATCTAGGAACATAATTCTACTCAAATAATTTGTATTTTTTCAAAAACATTTCAAACTCTTATTTTAGTGTTAGTATTTACAATAATTACAAAATTTGATAAACAGCTGCGGATATAGCATACTGCATGCAATTTTAATTAGACTCGAGCCCAGACACCCGCACTTATAACTCGGCGTGAAGCGCTGCTGAATGAATACTGATACTGCAAGGACGTATTCACGTGGCTGGCAGGTCTAAAATTTCTACGCTAATCAAATAACGTCTGCTCGCTTCATACATCTAATTACATCTCTGTCTGCCTTACAATAAGTTCAATCAACCAGCCATCAACGAGGAGTGTTGGGTAGAATATGCGTCGCTGATAAAACTTTTTCAAATAAAATGAAACATCAAAATGAGAACAATTCATTTCATTTGTTGTTCATTGAAATACACATTAAATAAATAGTTAATTTGTTTCGATAAACATTAATAAACTTAAAAATTTTTTTTAGCTGGAAATGACATGATCGAAATATAAGCAACAACACCAACGCATTTGTTAATTTCTCAAATTATTCCACCATTAAATTTATACATACGTCACTAACTAAATTGTTCTTGTACACTATAGAGATGCCAGGCGTGCTGGCTTTGAGGAAGCTGTACGAAGACGAGAAGCCGCTGCAGGGAGCCAGGATCGTCTGCTGCACACACGTCAATGCGCAAACTGCCGTCAGTTGCTTCTATTTATTTATTATTAACCGAGCCGAATTTCTTTTAAATACTCAACCTTATTTGTGAAGACTCGTAAAATTTTATTGAGATATAAATTGCAGGTTGTCATTGAAACGTTGATTCAGCTTGGAGCCAAGGTTCGATGGGCATCGTGCAACATCTATTCAACGCAGGTCTGCCGTTACGTCGTTTCATTTCTACTTTTCTGTTGGCTGTTATTACATTGGTGGCAATTTGATCATTCATAGTTTCTTGTTTATTGGTTCAGTAGTTCTGCAAATACTGCTAGTAACAGAATGAATCTTTCTAAAACGTTTTCAACCCAACTAATCAAATAGATGGTTGTAATTAACTGTCAACTAATTAGCATCTTTTGTCGTTATAAATATAAAAATATGTTTTCGTTGAAAACCTGTCGTTGAACGAGCAGAACGAAGTAGCAGCAGCAGTTGCACACGCGGGAGTGAGTGTGTACGCCTGGAAGGGAATGCAAGAATCCGACTTCTGGTGGTGCATTGATCAATGCCTCGAACATGATAACTGGCATCCAAATCTAGTCGATTAGTCGTTCTGTTTTGTTGTTAAATTCATTTTGTGAATTCATTTTTTAAGTAGTTTAACAGTTTTTGATATAATCATTTGGAATAAAAAGTAAACTGCATGCCAAACAGATACTGGACGATGGCGGTGATGCAACTGACAGACTCTTGAATAGGTTCACACATTAATTTCTCATTTCTCGTTTTTGTTTCCATTTTTGTTTTTGTTTTTGTGCTCATTTTAACAACAATATAGACATTTTTTTTAAATTGAAAAATGTTACAAAACATTAATATTGTTAAAGCTAGTAAGTTTTAGAAAAATGAAATTTTTTATTTACTCACAGAAATTAAATTATTTATGAACGAATGAATGAATGTATTTTGTGCGCTGCTGAATAAATTTTTTAGACACAGTTCATGCATTAGACACCATCCTCACTTTGAAGGTTTCCGAGCGTGTTCAACGGTTTGAAGGGAGTCGTCGAGGAAGGCGTGTCGGGCATACATCGGCTGCATGTGCTCAACAAAAACGACAAGCTGCTCGCGCCAGCCATGAGGATCGATGACGCCGTCGTCAAAGTTACTAATTATTTTATTTTCATTTTTAAATTAAATTAAACTAAATTCTTTTTTTATTTAACAAAAATATTAAAATTAGTAAGCAAAAAGTTAAGAGTAAAAAACCGAGAGCTAGAAAATGTCTTTTTCATTAGGATGCTTACGTCTCAGTACAGCCATCGTAGGCCATAGCATCACGTCGTTCGTACTCGTTTAGCAGTGAGTATTTGATCATTGATTGATCGCTCTACGTCAGCAATTCATTTCATTGCAGACCGAGGAAGGCATTCTAATGATCTTTAGCTCTGTTTTCATTGTAAAACTTTTTCAGTTTCAGTTTTAATTACTATTTAAACATTCGCCGAGGCAGTTGGAACATATTTGAAATGAATTAATACAATGATATTTAAACAAGTTTTGCGGCATTTGTTTACATTTACCAGTTCATCTAATGTACGATATTTGCACTGCACTTTTAAATCCACTAATCGTTAAATTTTATTTAGTAAGAAGATGACATCTTGTGGCAATTTAGTACCTCTGAAAACATGCGCAACTGAATGTTTAACGACGCAATTTTCACACGAGTGATCGGCGATTATTTTTGCATGGCTCAGGCAGGCAGGCAGAACGTCTTATCTCCATCTAATTAGTCCGTCAATCAATCACACGTGCCGATGAGAACAGACGCAACTAATGAAAAATGACGCCCGTTCATCAAATAATTTTAAAGACTTACCACGACAAAGTATTTTGTAACAAACAGAATGACAAAAGATAACTCTAAAACAGAATAGATAAATTTTCAAATATTTTTAAAAATCTCAATAGTCTGAATGTGCACCTGGATTTTTTTTGCTATGGAAAGAGTGATCAGCCATGTTTCTGCACTGTTTATTTAGAAAAGTTTCTGATACTAGTACAACATATTTTGAGGCATGGTTGTATATAGTTATATATAATTATTATTTGTGTGATTTCATTTCATAACATTTCACAGTGCAAGTTCGACACGGTGTACTGCTGTCGTGAAACAGTTGTCGAAGTGTGAGCTGCTATCATCTACTTAATCTACTATATTTGTACATTCATATTTGATGATTTCTTAAAACATTCAACATCAGTCAAACACCGAGTTAATTGAATAATGAAATTCTCCTTGAAATAAAAAATGTAGATTGAAGAAAGCTGCTGATGTGATGTTTGCCGGCATGAAGGTGCTCATCTGCGGATACGGCGATGTTAGTAGGCGCCCAATCATTTTTGTAAACTATGCACTTTCAAAATTTAGCCATTTAAACGACATATATTAGACGGAATATTTGAAGTGTTTTCTGAGTTAAAAAAACTCTTCGTTGATAATAATGAAGCCTAGTTAATGCAACTTCATTTCTATTCATAGTCATGTCCTGCGTACGTGTGGCAACGATTGAAAAGATTTCCATTTATAACGAGAAGCAATTATCTTATCCTTAAATTTTAAGAAATTTAATTAAAGTTCTAAATATAGCCACTGAAATTTAAAATTTTGTCCTATAATATCAAAGGTGAGCAATTTAAAATACATTAAAGTTAACATTCCAATTATTTCTACGTTCAATTTAATTGATGCTGAAAATTCGATACATCATCTTGACTGGAAAATAATGTCAGGTTGGAAAGGGGTGCAGCTTATCGTTGAAATCATTGGGGGCGCAAGTCTTTGTAACTGAAGTTGATCCAATATGCGCATTACAAGCATGGTTGGTCGGTTGACTGTTTGTGGCTGGTTGGATGGTTTATGGCTGGTTGTTAGTGGTTGGTTGTTTGTTGGTTTGTAGTTGGTTTTTGTTTGCTCGGTTGTTGGTTTGTGGCTGGTTGGTTGTTCTTTGGTGGTTGGCTGATGGTTTGTGGTTGGATGGTTGTTGAAAGTTATTATAAGTTATCAAATTGTGTATATATTTCTAACAAGGCCAATAAATTTGCTTCGATTTAATATTCATGATTTGAACTGTTTTAAAATCACATTTTTCTAATCTCTTTACAATTATGGTTAGCAAGAAGGGGTAGATGTATAAATAATAGTAATTTTGATAAGTGTAACCAACTGTAACCAAATGATTTTATAAAATTAATTAGCGACAGATGAAATTGCTTAATAGCATTTTGTACTTGATATATTTTGTTTCGTGATTTAACATTTGAAAAAAATTCAGCATATACAATATTTTTCTTAATAATTTTCAAAATATAAAAATCATTTTCATGGAAATATAATGTAGAAGTTTTTATTACTCTAAAAAACAACCTTTATGCACATTTTTAAATGTTTAAATGTTTTTTGTGGTTTCTATATTAAGAAATAAATTTAAAAAAATATGAATAAAATAAATTTCATCATTTAAAAGCATGGAGGGTTACACGGTGGTTCAGTTGGAAGATGTCATTGACACTGTTGACTGCGTTATCACCTGTACAGGTTCATTGATGATGACCGCCGAAGTTCATTTGCCATAAAAATCCGTGTTCATTAGTTTTGTAGAATCTAAATAAATTTTCATCGACTAAAACCAACTTTGAAAAAATAATTATTTTAGATAATTGAATTGATAAATTACTCAATTGAATTGTAGTCACAAAAATTTAATTAAGAAATAATTTAATTAAATATGATTATTTAATAAAAAAATAAATGTTTCAAAAATGAGGTAATAAGCACGTGCTGTACGGAGAGCACTTCAACAGGATGAAGTCCGGATGCATCGTTTGCAACATGGGACATCCTTATATGGAAGTCGAAATTGTTCGTTGGCCTCTTGTTTTATTTTTTTCAAATACTTCTGATGATAAACTGCGTAATAAGTTTTTACAAAACAGGATTCGATCAAATGTAATTTGCTTCGTTCTAATAGAATGGGAAGCATGATTTTATTTTATTTATTTCTTTTATTATTATCATTATTTATTATTTATTTTATTCTATTTTATTTTATTTTTCATGTTAAAACATTTTTCTTTCTTCGTATTTTTCTTTATTTACTTATTTATTTAATTTTGTACTACTGCCATGCATGCTGTAACAGTTTCTGCGTCTGTCAGATCCTGATTTTTAAAGAATAATAATAAAAAAACGATAAGACATACTTGCAGTTATCATTGAATCGTAAGATCAGTCACACAGATGAAACTTTAAAAATTTAAAAATTCTTTGTTTAAAATAAAATGAATATTATGAAAAACATGAACTAAGTCTTCTCCCCCACTGAAAACAGAAGACCCTCAAATCGATCAACCTGACATGGCAGAAGGTGGCCTCCCTAGTAGACCACGTCATCTGGCCCGATGGAAAGTTCATTGTCCTCCTCTCTGAGGTTCACTTTTCTTTTTTTGTAATGGAACATTTTTTATATAAATTCTTCTATTAATTAATTTATCGAATACTTTTTCCTAGACTATTTTACAATGACCGTCGTTTCTGTCAAACATAATGATCATTGTTGAAATTTGTTTGTTATCTTGAGGAAATGTACGATTAGATAGAACGATAATAAGTACGACAATATGATAATTACGTCATCAATTAGATTAATAATAAACACGACACAATGACGGTTGAAGGGTCGCCTGGCTACATTGGGCAACTGCAAACTGCCTTCCCTCGTGGCATCGGTGACTGCCAGCACCCAAATCTTGGCACTAATTGAACTTTTCACCGCTCCGCCGAACCTTTACGAACATGATATCTACATTCTGCCTAAAAAAATGGGTTCGTCCTGTCTGTTTTAAAAAATACCGATTTTGTTACGATTAGTTCTGCACTGACTCATTTAAATAATGGAAAAATTCTATATTTTTACTTTCATTTTCTTTTTCATTTGTTTTATTAATTCATTTCTTTTCTAATGTTGGTGTTTTTATCAATACAATAATATATATATATATATATATATATATATATATAAATAAATAAATAAATAAATATATATATATATATATAAAAATATATAAAACGATACTGTCAATATAATGAACGTTAGATGAGCTGGTAGCAAGTTTGCACCTGTCCAAGTTCAACGCCCGCCTATCCGTGCTGACAGACGAGCAGAGCAAATATGTCGGCTTCGATAAGAAAGGCCCATTCAAAGTTAAAACATACAGGTTGCTTGCTATTTCGATAAATTACAGTCCAAAATTTTATTTGAGCGTGAAAAATTCCATCCATATTTTCAACCATTTGAATATTTTTTTCACAATGTCATATTATCTAGAGTTTCCTATTTTTAACATTTTGCAGATATTGAAGAGCGAGGTGCCACCAGAAAGATACATGATTGATGGAAGAAGTGATCGAATGTTCAAATGAAAAGAAAATTCAAAAGAAGACTTGTAGTGTAGATGTTACTTTAAAAGTTAATATGTTATTCATATCCTTTGAAATATTTTGTTTCGTTGTCGTCTCCTTCACAGTCAGCACATTTTTTGATTTTGTTCTTACCTCTTGTTTCAGTCCAACCCATTTTATTTCCTTTTTCCTATTGTTTTAAACCAATGTTTTTATCAACGCTGAATACATTATACACATACCATGTAAAGTTACACATATGCATATACATTAATAATAATAAAACTAATTAAACCATAACTCCCTGTATGATGACATATCTAGTAGTAAACATGCGTACGTGCGTTCCGCTACACGTAACAGTTTATTGGAAAGATTGGCTGAAAAAAATTTTTTATAGCTGGAGCTGACAATGGGTGGATGGATGGATAAATTGATGGATGGATGAATAGACGGAGGGATAAATGGATAAATTGATGGATGGATGGATAAATTGATGAATGAATGAATTTGTTCCTTTCAATGACTTCGAAACGAAACCTTATCGAACAAATTTTAAAAATTTTTGTAAAAAGAAATTGTCTAAAAGTAAATAGTTAGATCTTTTGAATATTTTAAACCAGGGGTGGACAAACTTTTTGCTGTGAGGGCCGCATTGAGAACTATTTTACCGTGGAAGGGCCTCATAGGTACTTCAAATAGCAAATCTTTTTGACCCGGGGAAGAATTAAGATTTGTGGATCTTTTTTTTGATCATAATGTCTGGCTGACGACCTTCTTTTTGGCGAAAAAGGCCTCGCGGGCCGCATGAAATAGCTTCGCGGGCCGCCCTTAATTTGCCCACCACCCCTGTTTTAAACTAACCAATTTTCAACATTTTAAATATGTTTGTATTAATTTTGTATGTGTATAAAAATAGTTTTGCGCTATAAATAGCATGATAAAAAAATTCATGCACACATTTGAACACAACACAACACACACACACACACACACACACACACACACACACACACACATGCATCACCTTCCACTTGCACGTCACGCGCATCCAGGCATCTAACAGCATTCATTGTTCATCACTGCCATTCATCTACTTTCTTGCAAACAGCATGCAGCGTGTGCTAAAAGACAGCAAACGCTATCCATCCACCCATCCATCCATCTATTCATTCATCTATCCATTTATGATTATTCGTCCATCAATCCATCGATCTATTCGTTTTTCCTCAGCTAAACTCCCTCATTTAGAACAGCCACAAATATTATTCCCTACTAAAAAAGATCAGCAAATCACTGGATATCTTAATTCTGTTGTATTATGATACTACACACAGAATATAAACACATATAACCCTAAGTATATCATCATGTATATCATTGTATGTAATTCGTCCATGGTTCATGTGGGATGCATTTAAAATATATTATCATATATATTATATTAATTATCCATCATTAAAAATGACCTCAAATAAAATAAAATAAACCTCGTAATTTTATTTATTCAGACGTCAATAATTGTGTTTCTTACATACACCAAACGTGGATATGTGCGGAATAATTTTGGATTAGGAGAGCAGTCGTTATTTATTAGAAATAGTGATCATATAAATTAAGAAGAGCAGGTGTATGTAAAATTTGGTGATTAAATGTTTGCCGAGTGCATGATATGAATGAATGCCTTTGTCTGTCTGTGTGCACGTCTGCTTCGTTGGTTGGTGCGTTTCGGATATTCATGTGTGTGTGTGTGTTTGTGTGTGTGTGTTTTTTCAATATGGATGCTGAAACACTGTGTCTAATGCATGTATTTTCGTGTGTATGTGTGTGTATGTGGATGGGCTTGTATGTATGTCTGTATATGTTTGCATGCTTCTCTGTATGCATGTAAATTTTGAGACATTCCACAATTGGATTGAAGTTGTTTGTTTGTAAAGTGTAGAAACAATTAGTTTGATGATCCCAACACTGCATCATTTTATTTCATCGCGAATACATTTTATAAAAGCACTTTATACATGGGTGTAGGTATGTTTTATATACATTTATATATAAATAATTTATATACATATAATGACATGTGTTATTTTCCGTTTTTAGAAAGTATTTATATTGAAATATAAACCGGTAAATGATAATTATTTTGTTTACAAGCTTCGTCAAATTATGTTTTGTTGAATTTTTCGTTCAATAGTTTGGATATTTTCTCACATCGTTGTTATTAGGCTTACAGATTGTGAGTGGTACGATAGGTAGCCTGCACTTAGTTTTAAATTATTTTATTCTCGTTTTTTTTTGTAATTTTTTATAAAAACATTGAAATAAATGTTTGACGTCAATTATTCAGCGATGTGTGAAATTATAAGAAAGTTATATTCAACAAAATTCTAAGAAGAAGGGATTAAATTGCTAGCGTTGGAGGGGAACCTTTTTCATTTCAATTACAGACTTTTCTAAAAATATACAGCGAGAGGTTTTTTGTGTACTATCTAATTCTATCACACAACAGCCTTTTTGGAATAGATTAACTAGCTTACCCACTTTTTTTATTTTAAATAACTGGGTGTTGACACTGTACCGAAATAAACAGTTGTTGTTGAGCTTGCATATACAAATCTATTTGTAAACAAACTTCGAGCAACAACGTGAGCAACAAGGGTCAAATGTTCCAACTTTCACCTCACAGTAGCTGTTCAACAAGTGTAATGCACATTTACAATATTAAAAAGAATGCTATCTATCAAAAAATTTAATTAGGGCTTTTGAACCCATCTTTTTCAACTAAATTTTAATTACCAATTGTAATTTATGCTCGCTTAATAACTGACTAAATTTTGAGAAGAACAAAAACAGTTTGTTGAAAAGCCAGAATTAATTTTTTTTGTGGCGGTAATTTTTTTTCACGTAAGGTGTACTCGAAAATGTGGCCACACGAAATGGCGCACCCAAACTATTTATTGCTATTTATTGACCAGGCTGCCCTCCCACTTAAGAGATCGGCTTATTCTCTGTTGTGCTGTTGTGAGAAACTGAAAACAAGACTGTAAGAAGTGCAGGATATTAAAAGGTACATAGTAACTGCCTGCACCTAACAATGAAACACGAATTACGTAATTAGCAGTGCGTGCTGATTCAGCTGAACGGTCGTCAAGAAATTCGTATTCACATTAAAATGACTAACCCTTATCACAGAGTGCTCACATGTGTACAGACTACAGACACTTCACCTTTGAGAAAATTACTTATTTTAAAATGAAAATTTGAGAAACAGAATATTTGAATAAGATATTTTGCCAAAAATGGAATGATAAGTTCTTGTAGAATGTGTGCAGATGTTGACAGTGATGCTTTGTAGCAGGGCTGATGATGACCTGCAGAGCTGATAGAAGTTGTGCCGAAACATTCAAGCTATGCAAGCTCCATCAACCTGACCACTTCATCAAATACACTTATTTATTATTAACATCAATTTAATACACAATCTAGATTTCATCGATTAGCGTTGGTTAATTATTTAAATTCAATCTGTTGGTTAGACCAAAATCAAACAATAGATTAAAGTTGAAAAACAAATTTAAGTTTAACTCTTTTAAAAAAATCAACAACATTATCCAAGCAGCACAAGAAGCAGACAGTTTTAAATTTATATTAAAATCACTTTTACACGATGATCTGCACTTTCTTACGATTCGAACAGTTGAACGACCATGTCGCGAATGAAGAAATTATTAAAATATTGTGGATAGAGCTGTCAGGTAGCTTATAAAGCGCTCGCCATGTGATTCACACACACAACACACATTCACCTAACACACACACACACACACACACACACACACACACACACACACACACACACACACACACACACACACACACACACAAACCCAACGCACCTGCATTGCACATTCATTTGTTTACCTGGATAAAGGCCTCGATCCTATTGGTCCATTCAAACATCTGGCGTTCTGCCAGCTTTGTTGATAGAAGAGAACAACGGATCGTCAGATGCGTTATATTTAAGCATTCTTTGTTCTTCCTAGCACAGCACTGCACACCAACAAACACGTGTGCAACGATAAAACGTTAAAAAACAACTACGAACCATTCTAGATCATGATGCCGGTACAAAAACTGTGTAAGGTGATGATGCTATATAAATTTATAAACTTTATAAACGATGTACGCATGTATATAAACTTGTTTCATAAATAATTTGGGGTTGTTAAGTATATTTTCACTTCATATGCATTGTCTAAAAATTAAAAACAAAACTACAAAGAAGGCACGCACATGTATCCCAAAAACATTCATTCATACAAAAAGTAAAATTTATAAATAAAAAAAGAAAATAAATTAAAATTTATATTCAAACACGTAAACTCAAAATCACGATGTGTATAACGAATAAAATAAAAAAAGCCATTCGCCAACTACTGAGTTATCTTCTGTCCAACTGATTTATTTAAAAGATGTATATCATTATATACACTACTATACATACACTCATTTATAACACGATTTTCAACAGTGGCAAAGCTAGTTCTAACACACGTAAACATATACGCACATACATATACACACTTAGATCTGTATGTATGTATGTATGTATACGTGTGTGTTTGTGCGTGTTTGTGTGTGTTTGTTTGTGTGAATCAACCTTGAAATGTCTTATTATATAATGAGCAGGCGATAATATAATGAATCGCGAGAAGCGCCATCCTGTTAACTACTTCTTTGTTCGAATGACTAACAGATGATTGAATGAATGAATGAATGAATGAATGAATGAATGAGTGAGTGAGTGAGTGAGTGAGTGAGTGAGTAAGTGAACGAGCGAGCAAACGAACGAACGAACGAACGAATGAATGAATGAATAAATAAATGAATGAATGAATGAATGAATGAATGAATGAATGAATGAATGAATGAATGAATGAATGAATGAATAAACAAACGATACAAACGAAAGAATGAATGATCACTGGGATGAACGAATGAAATATTGATTATTACTTTCCCTTTGTTCTTTATTTATTTACCGCTTCAAGCGATACAAATATTTTTAACTGGGCGTTATTTAGTGATGATTTACTACTACAGAAGCAAGTTCAAGTTGCTTCTGTTACGTAATAAATAACGATTGAATTTTGGTCTTCTAAAAAATATTCCAATTAAATTTACTCACTCTACTCCAAGGTTATTTCCATTTAATTTTATATTTATTATCGTATGCTTTGTTTGTCTATAAATAAGAGATTGGCTGGGCATAAAATTTGAAGTTTCCATTTTTAACTCTTCGGAAAATAAAACTAATTTTATTTGTTGCTTATCATCTAATAACTAACTGATAGATGGCAACCAGCATTGCTTCGCTTAAGTCAATGACCATTTATTTTTTGATAGCTCAACGAGTAGAGGTGCCATAACTGTCGAGTGTGTCTTTTAACAGGATCCAGGAAAGAATAAATGCACAGGGAATTCAAATGCAAAGCGCGCGCAAACACTATCATCTGTTTATGTTTAAGTAATGATTTATTCCACACATTATTTAGGGTATGGCAATCAAAAGGTATTGCTGAATGTTACCTAGATGAAGTTGTATTCATTTTGGTTGTATGTTATATTTCATTAACTTATTCGTATAGAAATATTCGTTTGTTCCATTTCTTAGAATCAAAATTTATTTTAAAACATACGTATTTTAAGTACTTTTAATTAAAAGGAACGTTCGTGTTTACTGTATGTATTGTAAATATTTGAAGAAGTTGAATTTGACAAAATTTGAAATTAAATGATGAAAAATAATTGTTTATAAAAGCATCAAATGTGGTTGAATTTTGAGAAATCTTTTCAAAACGCGTCAAATTGGTTATATATTTTGATTATATGCACTTTATTTTCGAAAGAAAAAAAATGATTTTACCACACTATATAACAGTTTCAGTAGTACATACGAAAATAATCTGTACAAATGTTTCAATTCAGGCATAAATACATCGAATGAATCCGTAAATATTTCTGTCAGATATGTAAAGAATGTTTAAAATAAATGTTTCTACAGATGATTAAAAATTATATACTTAGATTACAAAATAAGATGTCGGTCGCTAATAATTCGATGTCGTTTTGTTTGAAACGTCAAATAGAAAAAAGATAAACAATAATAGACACAATAATGAAATGAAAAGCCACTTTATTGCAAAGCGTTAACTACATGGATTGGTTGTGGATGAGTAGAATAACACCAGAAATGATTTAAAATTATTTGGGATTTTGTGTTTCGGCTGGTTGTATAGGCATTTTCATGCTGCTTCAAACCACAAGCTTGTTTGCCGTTGCAACAGGTTTTTGACATACCTATTTTTAATAAAAAAAAGTAAAATTCTTTGAATTACGTAATTATTTCATCGTTAAAACATACAACGAAGAAAAAATTTGAGTTTTTTTTTCATTAACAGACGTTCATAGTTACATTGGTTGCACATGATATCTGATTCTGCTACCTTGGTCAAGTCTGTGCTACAGTGCACTTCGTTTTGTGAACTCACTCCTCATCACATGATAGCTATAAAGGTCCTCTTTTGTCTTCTTCTATGTCATTTCAAATATTCATCTCAGTAATATGACATAATATGTAATAACCAGCATTCTTAATTTTAAATATAATGAAACCTCGTGAATGATGATGACGACGATGTAGAGGGCCGGCTTGTGTTTCTGCGTAAAAAGAGTGGAGTCAGCCGTGCCATCTATTGAATGCAATTATGTCTGCTCCAACGGTGGTTACTGTAGTGGTCTCAATGCGTTTTCTATTTATAGAGGCTTGCTATCTTTTCCTTACTAAGTTCTTTCAATCAATTATATTTATAGGAACCAATTTTTTTATAATTTTAACGATTTTTCCTAATTCATTGCTGTTCATTATTGAGTTTATTAGAATACTTTGTTCGTTTTAAATTATAGCAATAATTGAAATTTTTTACAGCGAAAACTCTACGAACGTACAAACTGTCATTGATTGGAAGATGACCCAACAACAAGAAAAAGATGGAGGGATGCAAGGCAACTCGATTCTCTGGCAGGGAGACAACACGTTGGAGGGCTGCTTCCATCTTTGTAGCGAGCATAACTTCTCTTATGTCAGCGTCATGGTCAGGTTCATCAACATTGTGCTTCATTTGAATTAAAAGTATTAATCAATAAATTTATGCAAGACAAAATTAAAATTAATAACGTGGACCTATTTTCGAGGTTTCTTGTCATTGTGCCATCAAAATTCATGTTTGCTTCCTTGGCATTTTCTGAAGTTGAAGCCTTTGATAGAGGTTTGTTTTGTTTTTTAATCAGATAAAAAAACTAATTTAATTTTGCATAAACACGAAACGAAAATACCTGGAATGTTTCAAACAAGTTGAAAGCAACGAAACCTTTTTAAATGAAAGTGCTCCACACCGCTGTTTCTATCACTGCAGCTACTGCCGAAGAAAACGTGAGAATGGAACTTTCGGGGAACGTGCTTCTTATAAAGTCTGCACAGGTTCACTGCTGCTCAAGCTTATTCCGTGTTATTCGATGAACCTGTGTATTGAGTTGTTGTTCATTTTGGGAATAACGTTATACAATGTTATACAGATGTTTGCAAAATATTCCGTATGAATTCATGTTCTGATGACAAAATATGATATTGAAAGGCTTGATAGAAAGGGGAACCAGGCTTGGATGTTTCAGCAAATTTGAATCGTTCACCTCTCTACACACGCCGGCAATCAAACTTCACTATTTGTTTCGAGTTTTGCTCTGATGAGGACACTGACTATGTGACAATGAATGTTAGCTACAAAATTTTCATAAGAGTTTAACTGTAATTTTGTTTCAGCTGTAATTTTGTTGTTCTTGAACATACTTTGTTTTAACAATAAGCTGGTTTTTAACAGAATTTTACGTTAGAATTTTTAAAATATGAACCACTAGGCTGATCAACATAATCACGGATTAAACATATTTACATAAACAATATTCACGAAACAAAATAGCAAGATCACTTGAAGATAGTTTTGCTCACAGACACATTCTATGTAGTTTTGAAAAATTTTATTCCATTGAAACGTTCAGAGTTTTCAGTGTCTCTGTGGCAACTCAATTAATTTGAAACATCACATTCCTTTCAGAAGATGTGGAAACATTTCAGATGACCTCTTGGTGTATGCAGGTCTGCTAATACTTCAACAGTTATTCTTTCTATTTTCAATTTTTGCTTTAAAGTAATAATAATTTTAATGACCTAACACGAATTTATATTAATTTTAATGACCTTACGTGAATTAATAGTGAAATCTGAAGTGGATATAAGTGGACAAAACTTGGAACATAATTTTTGTCCGAATGATGTTTCGTACTCGTCTGCTAATTATTGCGGCCTGGGAATTTGTGAACACGGTTGGAAAGGAGAATTTTGTAACGTTGGAGGTACTGAAAATATTAAAATAACAATATGCCTATATTTGAGAAAACTATTTAAAAACCGCGCTTGTCTAAAATTTGAATCAACTAAATATTTGAAAATAAAAACATGCAAGAAAATTATTTAATATTCAAGATTGTGCGGCTAATAATGGGCTCTGCGGAAATTTAAACTGCGAATTTGCCTTGGAGATGGGAGAGTAAAGGTGTGATTGCTTTTGTGACGGAGACCATTTAGTTTATGTTGAAGACCTAGGATGCGTTGAAAAAGGTTGAAATTTAATCAAAACTTTTCAGTGCATGTCAAAAAATATATCTTCAAATAATTAAAATTCTTATTTTTTTATTTAAGTTAATTAAATATTTAACTGATGTATAATTTTCAACTTAAAAATTTATAACTGAGCAGAAATCAAAACAGTGGCAGACAATACAGTTGGATTGAAAATTGGGTTAATTTTCTTTTTTGTGGTCTCAACACTTCTCAGTATTGTTCTCCTATCGCTGATTGCCTACATCTCGTACAAGACAATCAACAAGAGAAGAAGTCGCCTGAAAACAAGTTTGTACATCCAGCATTATTATTTGTTCCTCCTTGATTTCTAACTGCGCTATTTCCAACAATATATTAAATTTCATGTTGTTTACAATTTAGTCGATTTGAATGATGACTATGGTTAAAAAATTTCAAAATGCCACAACAATTCAATGAACTGAATAGATGTTTACAATTTTAAAGACCATGCTTATACACTGGCAGACTGCTGTCGATTAAAAATTTTTTTAGGATCCATATAAATCATCGATGATCGTTTTTCGTAAATTAAATTGTTTTAAAATTAGTTTGTTTGCAAAACTTACTTTCCGAATCAATCAGAAGTAGCTTCATTTTGAAGGTAAGTTTAAAAAATATTTCACTTGATAACGTACGAAGTACTTTTACATATTGATGATTAATTTTTTAAAAGATGAAGGACAACTCTGAACAACAAGCTGCTGTTACACCTCAACAAAAATTTTTTCCATCAACATTTGTTTCAAACTCACTTCATGTTTGATTTTTAGAAATAAATATTTAACTCCGTACGTTCTTCATATATCAGTTTTTCCTTCAATAAAATTTAATTTGTCGTCTGTTTATTTATTTTGTTTATTTATTTATCTGACGACTGAAATAAGTAATTTGAGCAAAACATGAGACCAACAACATTCAACAGACATTCACGATCGTCAGCCCTCAGGCAAGCAGCTTCACATGAACAGTTTCAATTTAGTTACAACGATTGTTGTATCAAACAAAATGCACATTCCGACAGCAAATACTCTGAACATCGTGAAGGCAACTTATTAACAGCAAAAAATTATTTTTTAAACAAACTTTAAAATTTGGCATAATTAACTTCCTACCCGTTCTTTTTAAAATATAAAGTAAATACAATACAAAGTATTTTTGATGATATTTGAGTGCTAGCTTAGTACAAACATTTGGTAGAATTTTTATTTTTTTGTTGAATAAAAATAAAATCTCATTTTATTTAGTCAACTTAGGCTTACAAATGGAAACAGTCTGAACTGATATGTTGATGATCAGCAAAGTGCTTAAAAAATTATCTACAATGATGTTCTTTGCTGTGTTGAACAAACACGCACACGCACACTGCAAGTTAATTATTCAAATATTAAAAAAAATATTTAGTTGATAAGCAGATGCCGGGAAATGTTGTTGGCCAGTTGACCAGATGACCAGCTGAAGCGTTGTTGAAGTTTTCTGCAGGTCGGTTGTTTCCTCAGTAGCGCTGATGCAATTGCTCTGAATACTTCTTGACTTGCTAAACTGCTTTGTCTCAGCGAACCCATAAAGTATTTCCGCGTGTCAACCATGTGTTACAGACTTGTGTTTGAAAGCAGAATATTATCATATTGGCGTTTCTTTGTAGTTGTTGGTGGCGGTGGATTTAGTTGAAGTGGTGGTTGCATGCATAGTTTGAGGTGTCGTCGTTGTTGGTGTCACTAATAAGGAAGCTGCGTGGTTGTTGTTTCCAACTGCATTGGAGTACAAATGATTTCTTACGTTATTATTTTATTGAAATGTTTAAAACTAACAAGATAGTTATTTACCTAAAGTTTTCTAATTGTGTTGAAACAAATGTTTTAAAAAAATTTATTTAAAGAAAAATTATCTAAAAAATATAACTAGTTAAAACTCACAGTTCTGTAAAACAGTCCTAAAAATTTCAATGTTAAATTTTAATTCATCTCAATGAAATTTTAAATGAAATGAATTTTTCTTAAACAATTAGAAAAGTTTGAAAGAAGTAAAGCACGTGATTAACTTCAGTGCTGTAGATGAAAGAGACAGAACATTACAGACCAAATTAATAGAACAAACCCAGGAAAGCTACAACAACAATTATAATAGCATTAACAGTGAAACAAATGTTTCAACGCCAGTTATAAATGCAATTTGTTTCGTTGGTAAAAAGTTGTGTCATTGCAATGAAATTAAAATATAATAAATAAAAAGACACAAAAATATCTAAAAAAGCTGAAAATAAAAAGTTGACTGTTGAAATTGAAGAAGAATAATTGATTGACTAACGCTCTGTTTTCTTCCGTCTGGTTCGGTCCGAAATATTTGATGCTACCTGGATAATGGGATAAATGCGAACCTGTCACTTCTGCCTCTCTTTCCTATTTATTTGTTCTGCGCCGCTCTAACTTTTTGAGTGAGTTTTTCATTTGAAACGATTTTGTACAAATTTTTTGCAAACCTTTTTAACTTTCAACACATTTCGAAAAGTTTTTCCATATTTTTTTGCAATATTTTTCAAACTTAATTTAAGCATGAATTTTTAATTTTCAAATTGATTACCCGTTAAGGTTTGCAGTCTTTGCGAATTCTAAAATAAATATTTCTATATTTACACTTAGGAGACATTCACCTAGGCGATCAACCTGCCGCATCTAAGCCGGTTAAACTGCAAATGTGTTGTGTATGTAATGTATGCAGGCATGCATGTGTTTGAGTCTGCGTATGTTGGCATTGCATCTGTGTGTACGCAAGCATCCAAGTATAAACGCTTGTGTGCATCTTGTCGCATGAGACATCCATCCAGCTTACTGTTGTATCTCTACTGTAGATTTTAAAACAAATTATGTTTGATGAGCTATCACATAATTTATTGTATAAACTATAAATGTTTGTTCAACATTTATAAATGATAATTGATAATTTCTCATTAAAAGCATGTCTGATATGGATTTATTGATATAACTTGTGACACAAGCACACCGACCGTATCTGTTTTGCTTCCTCCTCCTCTTCTTCTTGCGATGTGTGCTCAGTAGCATGATGAAGATGACCAGCGAGAGACCGACCACGCACAGAACGCCAGCCATCATTGTGTACATGGTGTACGTGAAGAAGTTCGAAGATGAAACAGAATGCTGCTCTGCAATTTGTTCAACAACCTCAGTAACATTTAATATGAAAAAAAAATGTTAGTCATCAACTGTAACCTCAACTCAACAAAACAACTTGCAATTAATTGAACGGTGCAATAGTGTCATGGTTAAGGTGCCCAGGCACTGTCGTTGCAGTGACCCGGTTCGAACCTCTCATTCGCATACAATGTGTATCATGCGTTGGTTCACGTGTATTCACATGCCTTTGTTGTTAAGATTTTTAAGAAACACTAAAAACAATTTTGAATAAATAAATTTAAAATAAATTAAATTGTATGCTATATCCTAGTCGGTCTTGTTCAATGCCTACTTGGCTGCATAACAAGCCTTCCTATATTTTTTGACACAAACCTTTCTTCCTTCCTTCCAAACTTTCTTTATTTAACAACTCAATCATTTCAACCACCCAGAATATATACGATAAGAGCGGAAGGAAGACAACGTACGCACCTGCCGCGTCGAAAGTGACGATGTTGCTCACGTTGCTAACTTTCCCGTTAACAGAATGAGCATAAGCAAGAAATTGATACGTGGCACTCTTGGCGTATTCGGTCCAAAGAAAAAAAAATTGATTGGAGTTGAAGGTGCTGGCTAATTTGGACCATGCACCAGAGGAGCGGTAACAAATTGTCAGGTGGCTGATGAGTGATTTTGATTGGTCGTTAAATGACCACGTTATGTTCAAGCCAAGGCGTGTCTTGTAGACTGCTAGGTCACTTGGTGGCGGGAGCCTCAAATCTGCATTAACATTTTTTAAATTACTGAGTACGTAAAATATAAGCATATATAATAAAACAGTGTTTTAATAATATAATGGTGGTAGTGTGAACCAAACCCCTCAGTTACGAAACGTACGTTCAAATTAATTGCCTAACGTGAAACCAATAAATGGAGGTGGCATTGTTTTTGATTTTACAAAAAAGATCAAAGTATTCTAATAATATCAATCCGAGTTTGATTTTCAGAGAAACTCATTCAGGGCTTCCTTAATTGGGGCTGAAGTGCTAAGCCGGTTTGAGCATTTATTAACAGAATCACAATGTTTCTGATACCGTGTTATATAAATATCAGCAATAATAAATTAAAACATTTTAAAGCATGAAGGAGCGTAGGTTTGATATAAAATATTTTCTTCCTACCAGCACAATGATTTTCAGTTAAATTCTATTTTACATGCGTGTGAAGACTTCTTTGGAACGAGATACCTTCTCCAACAACATTAAAATTCATGCATGTTTACGCCTACGTACCGCCTCAGCTCAGCTTTATTCAATGCTTATAAAAATTTCAGCGTTTCCATTAACGTTAAATTTAGATAAGTTAAGAAAACTGTTTGAAACTTGAATCAACGAAAGAAAAATAAAATAAAATTTTAATGTACATTTATATGTATAGTACATAATTAAACAAATTTTGTTAAGATTAGCGGCTCATAGGATACGATCAGATATTCCAATAGAACATCAGCGTGAGCCTGTTACATTAATCTAAAATTTAATAATCATGAAATTTATTTGGCTATTTTCCAACAAATGGCTTGCCATTGTGATTTGCGGTGGTGCATGAAAGTTCAAAAAAGGTTGTTTCGAAAGAAATCCAACAAAAATTTAAAATTTTTAGAAGACCTAGTTTGATAACGACGATGATTTTGAGCGCTAGGCTGTTCCAACATTACAAATTCTTTGTATACTGATTAGATCTAAGGTAGCTGACCTCATAAACGTTTAATTGATTTACAAGCAATTTTAACAATTTTCAGACATAAATGTTTTTGACTATTTTTAAATTATAAAAAGATATTACTGATCTGTTTAAAGTTTCATTAACTTTCCAACTCTGTTATTTTAAAATAATCCTTCCTACGGACATCTCTGGGGTACCAATTAATTTTTAAATTATTTTTTACGCTGCCTTCCGTGTTATAATAGCATCTTAATCAGTTTATTTTTTATAAGTTTGTTTGTTATTTTGTTGCATTTTTAATATGCTGATGCGTGAGGTTTAAAGTTTTTCACCAAATTTTGGTTTCAATGTTTTCAATTTTCAACTGCATTAAAAGTTACAACTTTGATAGACAACGCTGTCGCATTAACACATACACAAATTAATCGTTCAAATACGTTTACATGACAAGCACTATGTACAAACAAACACACATTCTAAAGTTCATCACCTAGTTTCCCGATCGAGGAACAATGAGGTGATGACAAAGATGACGACGACGATGTTGATGGCGATAATGAAGATGATGCTGGTGATAACGAAGAGGACGATGATGACGATGATGATAACGAGGATGATTTTGAGTGCTGTGTTGTTCCAACTTTTGTTGTTGATGGAAGATGCAGGTCGTTCGACTTCTGTGCAAATGTTTCATCTGTTATCGAGATATCATCACGTCATTATTTTGAATAATAAAAATTAACTATATTTAGTAAATCATGAAATGAATTTTATCAGAATCTTTAAAAGAGATGATTCAAAAGAACCATTGCTAAAAATGAGTCATTCATCAGAAATCCTCAATTACACTGGCTTCTATGATATTAGTTCATAACATCTTTCCAATTCACATTATTTATCTTCAAGTGCCCCAAACACTCATTAAATATTCCGTCGTGGAATAATTTTTCAAATTTCATCCAGTCAGCAATATTTTGGACAGCATTTGCTGGTTGAGAGGAGTATAAGTCGTTGGCGGTCTCAGGACAAACAATCATTCATCATGAACAACTGAATGGCTGCTATTCATATTAATTCATTGGCTGCCAGGCAATGCCGATAGTCGAGAAATTTAATGAATGGAGCCATTAAAAATTAAGGTGCTCGCGAATGATGATGCTAAACAGTGATTAATAAGAAATAATTAATAAGTAACCATTACCAAGAAATAATTACGTGCAATGATTAAAGTGCTGAGATAACATATTTAATATTAAAATTTATTATAAAAATAATGAAATTCAAATTAAGAGCATGTTTAACACATTGAACGTATAGTGACACAGTGATTTAAAACAAAAATAATAATTTCTTACATACAGTTGGACTTCCTTATAGCGAACTTCTATACAACGAAAACTCTATATAACGATTTTTTTATGTCCTTTGGAATTTTACATATAAAACTATTTCTATTAAACAAATAAAGTTAAAAGAAATATCCGACCAGCAAACATTATACGGAGGTACGACTGTATTCGTAAACTATTAAATGAATGAAGATTATTAAATCACATCCGATTGTTAAAATATTTTAATATCCTCAATTAAAAATCATCAAATATTTATAAAATTCAAGTTGCTGGTACTATGGTAATTAAAAAACACCGGCATACCATTGCAAATTAACAAGTTAAAATCTATCATCGAAATGTAACATTTAAGTTGTACTAAAAAAAAATTGATCTCAAAATTTAAATGTAATCTATCTTGGATTGCTAGTTTTTTTTCGAGTGATCAAATAAAAATATTCGACTTATCTGAATGATGATCATGAAAATGTCCTCAAGTTAGGCCGCGATGAATTCAAAATAATTGTTACCTCCATCAGATATAACGCCATGACGATATTTTCTCATTTATGTTATTTAATGTTGTTATTAGATAAAATAACTTTTTGGGATTATCTTCGTCGTCAGCATGCTGTTGTTGTTGTTGCTGAGACAGTTGTTGCTGTTGCTGAGACAGTTGTTAGACTCATTATTTTCATCCGGATTATCCGGATTACTTCATCACAGTTATTACTTCCCTTCTTACCTGGATACTTTATATATCCTTATTAGCCTCATTACAACGTTGGTATATAGCGTCATTATCATTATAGTTATTAATATCATTGTTCCACATTTATCATTTGATACCACTAATATCATCACATCATCAGCAACATCTTCAACCTGTTCATCATCATTCTCATTGGTATCTTCTTAATAGTCATCTTATTCATACTTTAACTTTATCCTAAACTTTTAAATATAAACAGTAATTGTTTTTTTTCAAAAATTATCCCCAAAGTTACATTTTTAATGTAATGTAATGTAGGAACTGTCAACTGTCAGGAGCTGGTTCTGCCAGAAGAACCTCAGAGGAGGAATTCTAGGGGGCCAAATATTTCGGCCCTGACATTCTCGAAACGTCGGACCAAATACCATTGCAAATACCATTGCAAATACCATATATATATATATATATATATATATATATATATATATATATATATATATATATATATATATATATATATATATATAAATGTATATATATATAATTATACCTTTCGCTAACCTTGATGTTTGTTATAAAACAATTTATCTTAAGATAACAAAAGTTGCAGCATCTATGCCAATCATGATCGTCGAGCCATTCAGAAATTATTTAATGAGGAGTGGGGGGTGTATATTTAAAGTATTTATAATGCGTTTCCTGGTATTTTTTGAACAAAAGAAATATTTCTCAATTTTTGTTGGCGATGATGGGTTTGGCGAGCAAACAAAATAACGTTTTCCGCCGTATTTATTTACAATTCAAATCTAGAAAAAAATTTATCAATGTCATATTTTTGCTTTGTAGCTAGTTGGAAAGTGCATTGTCATTTTATTCTATCTTATTATATTATATATTTTATTTGAAAAAAAACAACGAATAATTCAACATGGATGTCGTAAGATAACATAAGTGAAATATTAGTAGTTTTATAACAGGTGCAAAGTTAACAGTCAAAAAGGTTTGAATAATAATTAATGGTTATAAATATGAAGGGTTAGGTAGAATTTTTTAAAATGTATAATGCGTTGAACACTCAGGCAGTTCCGTTCCAGATATTGCATTGCTATGATATGCACTCGTGCCAGTCTAATGGTAATTTTTTTTGAAAAAAAATTCATATTTTTTTTTATAAATCTCTATTTTCTTCTGAATAATAAATGAGCTTTCACGTCAACTGGCAAATAATTTTGCATCATAGAGTGTTTATGGCGTAATTATTTTTTATAACTAGTCATATGAAAAAAAAACTTTTTATTAACTTAAATTTTTATTTAAATTATTTATACTTGCAAATATATATCTCCATAGTGATCATCATTATCATCGCCATCACCATCATCTTGCCGCCATCTTCTTTTTCATCATCATCGTCGTCATCCTCCTCTGCACAAATGCCTCACGGTGTTATGTTAGACCATCACATAACAAACCCGAACAACCAACATCGGATAATGTGTAAGTGAATTAATCAAAAAATTTATTGCTGTTTGTAAGTGGGTAGTGCTAGAAATTTGTTAATTTTCTTAGTTGCTACGTAATAACGAGAATCTAATTTTTTCGGAATAACGTTAATGCTTTTGTAAGCATGTTCCTAATCAATGGTTGTTGTGATGTTAACGGTACATGTAAATGCGTGATTCATATTCGATTTGCGTTCGTGCCTCAACTGTTTTATACCCCCGTCCCTGTTTCATTGAAATGCAATGAATTCAGACGCACAAGAGAAATGGTCGCCGAATGGAGGAGGGGCGGAGGGGGCAACGTTTGAAATGGCTTTCCATAACACAAGTGATGTGCTCAATATTAGTGTGGTGCAGGATGAATTAACATAAAATGCACAAGAAGCGTAACGCATAAACATAAAAATCACGATAATACGACGTCTGTCGGTTCTTTATGTCTGGCCGCCATTATTTTTTCCGCTAATATTAGGTTTTCTATGTTGCCCCGCACAGATTCTGTTGCTGTTTGTTTCTTTGTTGCTTGCCGTTTGTAGTTGCTGTAATTGACTTTGTTTTGTTTGTTAACCTATTCGTTGTGACAAGTAGTTGTTTATTTGTGTAGTTTGTTAATGTTCCGTTGTTTCAAGACGACAGGCAACTCTGAGGGCATTCCACATCTTGTTTCTTTAAGATATTCTGCTATCTTCTTCAATGTGCATTGCTTTCTGGGTAGAATACATCTATAACTGCTTAATTTTGTATTTGAGATATAAATTTTTAATGACTGTAAATGATTGTTCGTTCGAATAAATGCGTTTGAAATTATTTGTCAGAAGTTTTTGCGTTAAAGTGTTTTGCATCATTGGTGCCGGTGTGCTTGTCGGCGTATTATTTCTCACGCTACCGTCAAATTTATCACTATAGTCTCAATTTTTTTAAATTATTTTCTATAAATTTTTTCAAGTTTTTGAACATTTTTAGACTGTTTTTATCTATGGTTATTTTTACTTTATGACATAAATGCGGCCATCCATCAAGTTGGCTCGGCGGCACACAATTTGATCTGTTCATCCACGTTTAAAAGAACATTCATTACTTTTATTGCTCCTACTCTTATTATCATTCTACAAATTATTGATATTTCTGTTTCTGCTGTTGTTTTTGATCTTTTATTGATGTTTTTGTTGATGTTGGGATGTGCTAGATGTTGTTGTTGTTACGAACGCCTAATGTATTGATAATTTTATCGCATGTTTTTCTTGCTTGCCATCCTATTCCTATAACGTTAATGTTAAAATCCTTAGTATCATTTTTGTCATTTTCTTATCGTCAACGTTATCATCGTCGTTATCATCATAGTTAAAACTCTTAGCACTATTGCATTAATCTTTGTTTACCTCGTTACAACAACAGCGTTTAAGATTGTTTTGTAAACTTACGACATTATAGCTGATTTTCTACCTATCAATAATTGACTTATACTGCATTAATAAAATATAATTCTAATTTCAAAGCGGCATTATCGGCTTACACAGGTGCCTGCTGGTATGTCTGTTCACTTCACAGACTGCTTGTTGTACATCATTTGAAGGCTTGTTAGTGAGAAGCTGTACATTTGAATCGTTGAGTTTTTCTTCCAATAATCCGCTCCGATGTTAAAATTAAAATTTCTTTCAAAATTTTAATGATAGATTCACTCACAAAAAACAATCGCTCAAAATTGAGATTGGTGGCTTCTCTTGCAGGTTGATATTGAAGATGACGTTGCAAACCTCTATAAAATCCACAAATGCATGTTTCTCGTTCAATTTCTAGGCAAATTTGAAAATTTTTTACTTTCTTGCATCAATGTCGCAAGACCGTCAGTTACATCGTTAACTCAAAAGTTACAAATAAGTGCATCGCGAAATCCAACTTTTCATCAAACTCATTTTCATCTGTCGAGAGATGATAAAACGGATCAACCAAATTTTTGGCCATCTCAAAGAGACAGCAGCGATCAACTTAATACACCGACATTACCTCCTTCTCTTCCGCATCCCCCTCATCCTCAACATCGTCGACACAATCAGTCTGTTCTCATTTTATTCAACCTCATCGTAACCAGTCCTTGCAAGTCTCATCACACTCCTAACATGGTCATCATTCTTGCAGCACCTCTTCGAAATTCCCCAACACCTTAATTCTGACCGGCAGGCGAACCGCCTAATTTTCTGGCTGATCTAATTATATGAATTATTATTTCAAACAGCTTAGCTCACTTACAGCGTTCCAGCGGCATTATTAAGTTATTCAAGTGTAATGGATTTTAATTAAGTTGTTGTTGTTCTCGTATGTATGGGGTGCCACAAATGGTTACAAATAATTTATGTAATTAAAATAAAAAATTTCTCAAATTTTATTCTCTGTAAATTTTACCTGCTATATTAATTGAAAAAATGCAATTAAAAAGTAGGAGAACAAATAATCAGGTTTGCCTCGTAGATTGAAAATCATTTTCATCGACGTGACGAGGAAGAGACAAACAAATAATGAACGGAATTGCTCGAGGGTCGGCGTTGCAAAATCAAATTTGCGTGCGACAATTTTTTCATCATCGGAACAGAGAGCAGCGTGTTTTGATTGTTTCTGAAATATTTATGTCGAAGAATCTTTGCAACAACAATCTGATTCACTCTCCAATAAGTGCTTCGAAGAAATGCACATGCCGATAAAGTGAGAGAATAATGTAAGATCATTGAGCTAATCAGTCGCTCGCACCTTCAAACACAACTAATATTCTCGACGACAAAAATATTTCACAACTCGGCAACCAACCCTTCACAACAACAACTGCAACGGACACAGTAAGCATATGAATTTTCTCCTTAGTGGTTATATTAAAAGCCGTGTTCATGCAATCAATATACACATGGATGTTGTAGGAATAATAATGATAGTAGTGGTTGTAGCAGCTGTAAAAGATTAATTTTATTAGAATAATTGTGGACAAATTAGTCATCCATTGATAAACGGATAAAAAAAGAAACATGTAAAATGATTAAATTACTGAAAGCATACATTTATGCCCAGCATAAACAGCTGAAGCGATGAAATAAAATATGCAAGAGAAGCATTGAATTGAAATTTCGCTGGAAACGACGCCAATGAAAACAGCAGAAACATTAAGAAGAGTGTAGCGAGGTAATTGATGGATGTTGACAGAAATCCTGAACACAATCGTAAAATAATTAGAAGTAACCAGAAGATGTTTTGAGGAAGGAATCAGCAGGTTGTTTTTTGTTCTCTTTTTAAATTACTCACACTAAACAAACTTGACACCACCTATAAACACCATTCGATTCAACTACATTTGCGTCCAGAAAAGAAACAGATGGCAAGACTATTCAAGTGACCAAGACAACATGCTAACTACTAGCTAGGTGATTTTTGTAAAATAAATGACCACCGATCAAAACGAAGTGATGGCTCAGAGATCAATTATATTCATCGCCTGCCAACATTTCAATTTCGGATTCCAAAAAGTTATTAAAATCGGATCAATTATATTAAATAATAATAATAATAATAAAACATATAATGATGTAAGTTACATTTTTGAGAAAAAATTCATTGATTCATTTGAGATTTGACAATGGGAAGAACTGTTCATTTCCAAACGACCCTAACTCATCCGCGAATTTCATTGACGAAGAAACTACTTACGAATTTAATTTATTTAAATGAATTAATCAAACTACTAAATAATTTTTTAGTAAAATGTACAGTAAGTGTAAAAAATTTCCAACTCGCCCCAAATATATATCGTCCATTTAAAGTTTTTAAAAGAACAAAAATTGGAGTTCGCTCGCAAGCAGATGGACATAGCAGTCTTTATAATTATATTAACGTATACAGAATGGATGACGAGTTCATTATCGTTATTGGTTCAATTGCACTTCTTTCTCTTGTTTCATTTCTATTTTTATTGGTTTGTTAATAACAGCTGTTGCATTATATTCAATAATTCTTTTTTGCCAGATGAACGTCGTTGTAATAAATAAATTGTTGGCCCAAAGTTATCCAATTATACATATTGCGTCATTCATTTGAAAAATTATAAATCGTTACTGGAATGTTGAACAGCAATCACTCCATTTGTTGATGGACTTGATAGCACCTATCAAAAACATTTGGGCTTAACGATAACAATCCAGATGCTAACACAAATTAAATTAACTTTTTCAATTATTTTTAAAAACGACACTATATAATTTTAGTACTTTTTACTATAATTTTCAATGGTTAGTTGTTTTTAAATTGCTTTCCACTTTTGAATTAGACGAGAAATTTTCATCCCACATTACAAAACTTTGCATACTCGCATGCATTTATATTTGCTCATTTATAATACAACAGCACATTGTTACACATTATACAAATTTTACTTTAAACATACCATTTGAAACGTTTTCATTAAAGAACAGCAATTCTAAACGAAGCAACTAACAGTGAGTTTTGATCCTGGTCTTGCCGCTGAAGACCTCCAGACTGGAATCCAGCAAACTTCGACTCATGATCATAACTTCGTAGAGTGTATTCCACTCCAAGCCGTGCAACGTGCAAGAGTGGGCATCGTACGAAAAAATTGGAATTGTTTGCCAGAAATATCGATCAAGATTTTTGTAATGTTCAGGAATGTTCTGATGAGAAGAGGAATCAAACTCTGCATCAAGTCGTTCATCTTCATCTTCGTTGTTATCGTCGTCGTAATCATCGCTCTTGTAGTAGGAATCTGTTTCGCCGTAAGAATCTCGCATGTTGTCATCCCCAACTTCCGTTGTTTCATCTTTCAGCTGGCGGTACCTTCAACGTTAATGTTAAGGCTTTTAGTAGCTAAATCATTGCATCAATTACATTAATTAAGAATTTAACCTTTCATTTTAAGTTCGGCAAAACGTTTTAAATGCGAAAAAAACAATTATTTGTTCTATGGTATTTATAACTTTATTAACTATCTAATGTTCACTTTGTTTATAACTTAATTATTTAATTTTAATAATTTATTAAAATGATAACAGATACATTTATTTATAATAAAATAAAATATCATTTAATTAATCAGATTAAATTATGTATTCTTTCATTTTTTCACATGATGAGTAACCAACCATAGAAGGTAATGCAACGCGTGTCCATTGATGAAAGCAGGCAGCCAGGAAAGGGCGATACTGTTCTCAACTGATGTAACTTTGAGATTGTGAGCTGCCTGAAATACACTGTCTGTGAGTGTGTGTGTGTCTCTGTCTCTGTGTGTATGTGTAGTGGTTGTGTGTGGATGTATGTAGTTGTGTGAAGATGTATTTGGTTGTGTGGTAGTTGTGCGTATGGTACTTGGGTGTATGGTGGTTGTGTGTGGTTGGATGTGAATGGATGTGTAGCAAATGGGGGTAGTTGAAGTTGGAATTTAAATCTAATGTGGATTAAAATTAATTTTGAAAAGTTTAATGTAACAAGAGGAGAATTACTGAAAGCCTTTTTATTTAAACTACGCATATTCTGGAGAAGCAGACAACACAGTGAAGCAATCTCATCATAGGAATTTTTCATTCGAACATTCCTCAACATTTCATCATGAGTGAGTCAACGTTGAACAATCTCATTGAGTACGTAAAGCAAATGTTTCTACACTATCTACAATGCTACGCTTATTTTATTCAAACATACCTAACTGAGCTTACCTATAACTAAACATTAAAATCCAATCACAAACACCAAAAATAATATAAAACATATTATTAAACAAGAAATTATAAAAATGCTTAATTAATTAATTAGTAATTAAATATTCGTTAATATGACAGTAAATTGTCTATTATAACTTTGTATAATGCGAACTTTCTAAGTCTCGACATTTTTAAAAATTAATTTTAAATGCTTGCACTCGGAAAAAATGAAAAAATATTTAAAAAAAGGATTTGTCAATCAAAATTTTAATTTAAAATTTTTTGCGCGCAATTTCATCTACGGAACGCACGATGAGAATGAATAATTTTTAAATCATTTTAGCATGCCAGAAATCACTGTTAATAAAATAGAGACATGTTGAAGTCATTTTTTATTGATATTCATTAACAAGCGGTGTTCAGTTGGGATGAATTTGATGGTGAATGACTGAGGAAGCTTGCAGCAGGCAGTGGATCTGATCGTGACGAGGTGGGCAGGGACTCATCCGGTTGATCTCACTTTCAATCAAACACAAAAAGCAATAAAGTGCTCAGTCATTAATCAAAATAAATAAATAATTTACGCGATGACATCTCAGCAATTAGACAACATCAACAACATCGATAACATCAACATCAATAGCATCAACCTTATCGGTACCATCAACACCATCATTTTCATCAGATACTTCAACAACGTAAACATAATCAATAGCATTAAAACATTAAAAATCATCAACCACATCATTAAAATTAACAACAACAATGTTAAAATATAATATAAATGTAAATAGAAAGCGTAGATACGTATAAAATAGACATCACGCGAATATAACAACAAATCAAAAGCAAATGGAGCAGCACACAAACGAAATGTGACATCTACAACATAACGAACCATTCATTTTATTGAAAGGAACCACAAACTTCTCATCAAGCAAGATGAGGGAACATCATTTTTCTATCTACGATCTCGTCAGACAATTGTAACAACATCATCACATCCGTTTCACATTAAGGAGAATTAAAGATTTCAAACCATGGACAGGCGGCGCTAAGGTGCCTAGCACAGGATTCAATTGCAATGTGTGTGATGCGCTTGTTGTTGATACTATCAAATTATGTGATACTGTGTGTTTGTTGTTGATATTAAAGAAAAAAATAGAAAAGGAGTGGAGTGGAGTTCACCAACTTTTAACTACGGAGGCATACATCAATCAAAAATTCATAAGCAGGTCGGAGTTGAAGTAGCACGAGCTATAAACCATGAAAGAGTTATTAAGGAAAAAAAGAAAGTGCTACACAATTAATAATTACAAAAATATAATTTTGCTGACGTTGTGTGCACACGTGTGTTTGTGCAATTACTTTGTAAAATCATTATTTAATTTGTTCTTCTGATATCATTGCAGTGTGTACAAATTTATTTCACAATTTTCAAAATTAATCCAAGTTAGTTGAAGAACTAATCAAGTCGTATTCATTAGCAGCTTCTGAAACATTAAAGTCAGTTGTCTTTCATTCACTCACTTAAAAATTCCAATTTACGCTCTTGATAAATCATTTCAAACGTAGAAATTCTGGACTATTAACCAGTGAAAACATCATGCGATAATTTTCAATTGACCAGTTTAATTATACTTATTATCAGACCGGTTATTATTATTCTACAGAAATTAATGAGATAATAGATACAACGAAATAAAATTAATTGAAATGTCTCAGATTAAGAAGAACGCGATAAAATGCATCAAGTATCGAAATGAGTGGTGAAGAGATGGAGAGAGAGAGAGAGAGAGAGAGAGAGAGAGAGATAGAAAGAGAAGAGAAGTGTTTCCTTAACGACCGACTGAGGTGCGTCAAACAGGATGGAGATGGTCTGCTCCGTGTGTCAGTTCTTCATTGTTTAATTAAGGATGTTGAGTGCAGAACATTTTTGGCATCATAACATCATAACGCACACACACACACGCGCGCGCACACACACATCCACACACACACATCCACACAGAGAGAGAGAGAGAGAAGAGAGAAAGAGTGAGAGAGAGAGAGAGAGAGAGAGAAAGAGAAATATCAAGGTTCATACTTATCTACTGCTATTCAATCAGACAATGAACTAAAAATTATTGTAGGAGAAATTATTTTTTGATGTCGTGAGGTTTTTGTCGTTCTTGAATGTAACGTAATGTAATGTGATGTAATGAGTTGAGATGTGCTTTGGTTTAATGTGATGTAGCATAATAAAGTTTAATGTATTTATCTAATGATTGGATGCGATTATATGGCCTGTGTGTATAGTTAAAGTTGAATTTAATTGCCTGTTGTGTTGACAATACTTTATATTGTCACTGTATAGTGAAGAGAGTTAATTTCACTCTTTGCTTGCTGTTGTTTCAAGCAGATTTCAAAGTATGTAATACTGAGTGATTTGTCCTTTTTTTAGATTTCATTCTTGTTTCAATTAGATTTAAAAAGAATACTAAGTAATTTTTTTCCGAATAAATTAATGTCCTGAAGTTCGTGACAACAGCATGATTGGTTTGTTATACTTAGGTAATAAAAATTAATTCATGGTGATGTAAAATTAAGATACACTAGGTTTTTTGACAGAAATCAATTGTGAATTTGCTTTTTTCTTTAAATAATTTCCATTTTTCGTGTATCTGTCACGTTTAAAATGATTTCATTCTTCTAATAAATTTCCATAAAATTCATATTGGTTTGTTTTTCATTCTTGTTCATCGCTCAGAAACAATTTGTTTTTCAGGTTTCGTTTCATGCAACATATTCTCAATATTATTTGGTCTTTGGATAGTTATTATTAATTATTATATTTTTTATGTACAAATTTTAAATGTTAGTTTTTCTATGTTTTCAACCATTGGCAATAACTTGGAGACGGAAGACTTTATATTTAAGATAATTTGTAAATGTTGATTTGTTGAACAGCGGACCGCCGAGTCGACACATGCAGATTCGTTTGGTTGTTTTGTTCATTCGGACATAAAAACGAGAAATAAAATCTTGTATAAACAAAAAATAGTTAATTTAACAACTTTGGACTATAACAATTCTCATTCATCCTAATAATGATATCAGTTTGAAATTCAACACAGGCGTTTCGAAATATCGAAACAGCACTTTAACGAACAAATTCTTCTATGAAATTCCAAAGCTGCCAACCTCTGCAATAGCCAGCAGGCGAGCAGCGCTGAATGCGATAGATGGAATGAAATCCTAATTGTATTTATAAGGGGAATAACTTTAATGGTTTCGCCAAATAAGGACCATCCAGTGATTGTTTCACTTTTACTTTCCCGCTCTTGCGCAATTTTTTTATATATTTTTTTATCTCGTTCCATTGGTGCACATACACACACACACACACACACACACATGTGGTTTCATTCAATTTGAAAAACTTTCTTCTATTGATTTTAATGCAGAACAGTTATGTTTATAATTTCACTTTTGTTTCTATTTCAATTGGAATTAATTTATTTTAAAACTTCAAAACATTTGCACTATTAGCACTTTGCATACAAACTTCATTAAACTATCCCACGGAACAAATAGAAAAAGTGGCAAACTCGGGAATCACACAGAGAAAAGATTTCTATGTTGTTTCACCTCAACTGATTTTATTGTTATGTCGCACTCTTATTGCTTCCCTCATTGCTCCAATGAAACTCAAGCCTTATTATCATACAATGCAAACGTCAACATCATCCTCTTCCTCGTCATCATCACCATCATCATCATCATTGTCATCATCATCATAATCATCATCATCATTGTCATCATCATCATAATCATCATCATCATTGTCATCATCACCATGAACATCAATATCATTATTACGGATATCTCCGTTCGTTCATACTAATGTTCGATTAAATTATTTGCATTTAATTATTCTTAAATCATATCTTACGTACATCTCCATGAGAATGATCATCTTATGTTTATTTCGTTTGGATAATTTAAAATCACATCAGAAAGTAATGTAAAAGTTGTGTCGGTTCGTTTCTGATTCCTTAGATGAAATTCCGTTTATGGAGGAAAAAATAAAAACAAAGAAAAACTAATTTAGATTTGGCGGAACCTACAATTTTCACGCTAACAACAGATTAATACGAAGAAATAATTCGGATGGTAGGTAGGTGGGTAGGTAGGTAGGTAGGTAGGTAGGCAGGTAGGTAGGTAGGTAGGTATGTGGGCAGGTAGGCAGGTAGGTATTTAGGTATAGATATGTAGCTAAGTATAGGTAGGCATCTGTAATATGAGGAATTTTTTAAAGAATCTATCTCATAACAAGTTGGACAATTTTTTTTATTTTTTAACAAATAAACCATTTATAAAAAATCATTTCGAAATACATTTTATTAGTTTTTATAAAAAGTTAAATTGCATCACTGCTATCAAAATAATGATACAAACCAAGAAAGCACATACAACGATATTTTAATGCACCAATATATAGGAATGGTCAACAACACAATTTCACAATCTTTCTACACTTGTGTACATCAATAATTACATTATGTAAAACAAATGGCACAACAGAACACAGCGGTGACATTCACTTTAATAACAAGCACATGTTTTACCAAAACAATAACATTAACACAACCAACAACAACAATAACAGCAACAACATCACAAACAACAACAGCACAACAACAACCCAATCATAACAAGCACAACACAACTAACTTTGAACGATCAATCGAGTAGAAGCAACTGAATTGATATTGGCGTCAGAAGCGATGCACTCATATGTACCAGCATCTACTTTCGTTATGTTATGAATTGTTAAATTGTTGTCATTGTTGATGTTATTGATGTCGTTGTTTAAGTTGTTGATGCTGTTGGTGTTGTAGTCATCATCGTCGTTTTCAACGATTTTTTTGGTCAGTTCATACTTGCCTCGTTTCGTGAAATTTTGTTGCAAGTCGTCGACCTATGAAATATGTAGTTTGTACAATGTAAATTGTTACACACACATACACACACACCACACACGCATACACACACACACGCACACGCACACACACACACATACACGCACACATACACACACACACGCCCACACACACGTGTCTACATTGCATGGTATGACGGTGGTAGTAGCTTCATTAACGCCAGTGCGGACACTTTGGCGGAAGTTATTAAGTTTATTATTTAATTTTTTTAATGCAATCTGAAGGCGTCAGAAAGTTTCTAATGATTTAATGGCTGCAATTTAATGATGTTGTTGATGTTGTTGTTGATGTTGTTGTTGTTGATGTTGTTGTTGTTGATGTTGTTGATGTTGTTGTTGTTGATGTTGTTGATGATGTTGTTAATGTTGTTGTTGTTGATGTTGTTGTCGTTAATGTTGATGTTGTTGTTGTTGTTAATGTTGTTGCAGATGATTGTTAGTGTTGATGCTGTTATTGTTGAACGTTTGTTTAATTTTAACTGAATTTTTTGAGATTGTTCGTCGTAATGAAATATAATTTTTATAATCAAATTTTAAGTCTCCATCCAAACACTAAATGACGAGATCATCTTATAATTTATTTTTAAAGATTTAGACACTGACTAACAAGTTGAATGTTTGAATCAATATTTGCTCAAATTTTTTAAAATTTTCTTCTAAAAGTAGCAGTGGTAGTAGCAGCAACAGAAGTAGCAGCAGTGGCAGCAGACGTGTTGACTCAACACGTGAAAGAACACGTTTGTTGAGGTTGCCGGAGTCGGACATAAATTCAAGCAAATGTCATTTAACCGTTTGTTGTTTTTGTTGATGTTTGTGATGTTGTTGTTGATGTTGTTGTGTTGTTATAGATGTTGTTGATGTAGGTTTGTTTGTTTGTTTGTAAAACTGAGCGAGTGAGTGCTGGTTGGCCGGTGTCAAGTTTTTGCACTAATTCATTAAAATAACGAATGAAAATGTAACGAGATGCGACGTGGATCTAGAGTTCACGTGACTCAAATGAAATGACGTATCAATCCATTTCAATCAATCTATCTATCCATCCATCCTACTATTTATTTATCTATCAATCCATCTATCCACTCATCTATTAAGCAATTTGTAATATGGGTTTTTTGAAATATTTCTCAGATTGGTATCACATTTAATCTCGTCCGTTTGTTGTCCATAAAAATATTCTCTTTAATACAACCAACCGACCAACACACTATAATTATAAAATAACATTTTCCTAGTTTGTTTAATTTTATGAGTAATATTATTTTTTTTTTTTTTATAAAAATCCACTCATTATATGGAGATACAAATCTCTTTTTATGACAGAATTCCTTAATCGCAGAGACAGTACTCCCAAGTAAATAACAGACTCAAAGATATCATCACGACATTTCAAAAACCTGCTAGGAGACGTTCAACGTCTTCCATCCGACACTTGAAGTTTTTTTTTCCATTTCACAAAATGCGGCAGCTTATTGAAAGACTGCGTACCGTCACGATGAAATTTGTTTTGATGGGGCGGATAGTATTTTAACAAGAAAATGTTCACCCTCATGCATAATTTAATTTAAACTATTTATAAAATGTGGAAATAAAATTTCAAGCGTCTTTCATATGTTTTTTGTTACAATGTGAAAAAAGTTGTCACAGAATAGGAATGTTAGCAAATTTGAGAACGCTCAGTGAAAAAGGTAGGGGCCCTACTTAAACATTGAAATGTTCATTTCATATATATATATAAATTGACCTTTCTTCGTTATGTCCCAATATATATATATATATATATATATATATATATATATATATATATATATATATATATATATATATATATGTCTATATATATATGACATATATGTCCCAATATATGTCTGGAAAGAGATAAAATTTTGTCTAGACTATTATATATTTAGAAGGTTACATTTTTGAAGATTTTTAATTATTATTTGATAATTTTCAGAACGTTTAATTTTACAATAATTTTGTTTATTAAAAGTTCCATGTAACAGTATTGTAGAACGATTAAATATTATAATATGTATAGAATATGGGAAACTTGAATTTAAGAAATGTCTGGACTTAAGCGACAATGCAAAGTTCATTTAACTAAAAAATTAAAACAAAATGGCTTCAAAGTTTTATAATATGTTTATCATTATTTCATTGAAATGCATTTGTTTTCCAATGTTTTTGAAGTAATAATAGAAATATTGGAGAATGACATCAAAATCTCGAAAGTCATGCAAACTGTTGTATATTTATTTCAATGATCTTTTTAAATTTTTTGCAACAAATTTTTTTTTTAAGCTAAATATAGCAAAGCCATAAAGGGAAATATCATATTAAAAAGTGAACGAATGTCTGTGGTTATTTGTTTTTTGAATAATTTTTTTTTGCATTTTGCAAAATAAATAAACTTTCTATTTTTACAAATCTGAGTCTAAGTACATAACAGCATATTCATAAACGACAATTTTATTTAGTGAGCAGTAGTTTGAACTGACCTTCAACCACCGGACATCCGGCCTGTAGGATGTGTAAGGTGGTAACACGCAGGGCAGCGTCACTGACTCACCTTCTGATATCTGGTAGACAGGAGACGGTCTCCAAATGAAATGGTAAGGTTCTGGTCAATGTGGCATCGTTTCAATGTTAGATTTATTTTTAATGAAATGTATTTATTATTTATTAGATGTTTAATCATTACTTTATTTTGGCATTGACAAATTATCAAGCAATTTATGAGACTGTGTTAATAACAGATTAAATAAAAAATTGAATGCTAATTAAAAACTGAAAAATAATTGCTGAAAATGAATCATAATTGTATGGTATATTTTGGACAGACTCAAATACAAATTGTGTTAAAAATACAAAATAAAACTAAATAAACTCCATAATTTTAATTGTCTTAACTAGAAAAAAAATGTGTTATTATTAGCTAGTGGAAATTGATGGGAGGTTGACTCCAAGCTTCGATCCGTCACAACTTAGATTTTCAAAGGCCATTACTTACAGTCTAATAAAAATTTAAAAAGTTAATTTATTTGTTATGCAGAACGTTTTGTGGTGAGAAAAGTCATAAACAAATAAAGTAATAAAATTGTTTTTCATTTTGAAAATAATGTGACAAAAAATTTGTTGAATTGTTCCGAGCTCAACAGAAATGTATTTGGTATTAAACAGTTCTAAATTAGCTTTATGCTTAGACATCAACCATTCCCCTTACTTTTTATTAAATAATTTTTTCAATTATCCTGAGATAATAAGCAAAATTCAAAGAAAAAGGCAAGTAAAACGCATAAAAACATTTCGTGAAGAATCAAAAGTACGGATGATAATGGAAATGCAACGTGAATAGCAATGTAACATCGGCTTATTCTGTGTGTAACTACTTTAGGAACAGTAAAGAATAGCTCGCATACATGATGTCATCTTGCTTTTGGATACATTTTTGTTTTTATTTCTTCAACTTTAAACTTTTTTATTGAACTGTTTTATTTGGTTGAATTTTCGTGATAATTTTTGCGTAATTCCTATTACTTATAATACTTTTCTGACAAGACTTAACGCCATTAATTAACGAAGGAAGTGTTTTTCACAAAAATTAACGAATTTTTCAAGAGTTCCTACAAACGTCAAAACAAATTCTTTCATTACGCTTCTGATTGCCTTTTCATAAAAAAAATTTTATTTGACAATTTAAACGTCAGGAATTGTTCGTGATCGTAAGATGTATTCCATCCTCTGGGAATACTTTTTAAAACTCTTCCTTCTAATCGCTACATTCACTACCCTCAGTAGTAATGCATGTGCATGGCAGCATGCATTCTAAGTGAATGGTGGATGCATTGTAAGTGCGTTTATAGGTGCATGGCATTTTGCCTGTGGTGTAGGTGCATGGTAGATACGGTGAATATGATACATGCATATATATTTTTCTACATGCATAATATTGTAAAATTAAGCATTGTTTTTTCAAATATAGAAATACTTACTCAAACCTACGCAACACTGCATGCCATGCAAGCAGTTGGATATGCAAAACAATTGCTTCCTCACTTTGCTCCACGGCTGATGCAATACACAAATGAGAAAATTTCAGAGGTGTTTTTGTTAACAGAAACGTTAGTGTTCATCAGTGTTCATCATTTCATCATTCAACCAATGTTCATCATCTCATTCTATCAATGTTCATCATCTCATTCAACCAATGTTCATCATATCATTCAACCAATGTTCATCATCTCATTCTATCAATGTTCATCATCTCATTCAATCAATGTTCATCATCTCATTCAACCAATGTTCATCATCTCATTCTATCAATGTTCATCATCTCATTCAACCAATGTTCATCATATCATTCAACCAATGTTCATCATCTCATTCTATCAATGTTCATCATCTCATTCAACCAATGTTCATCATATCATTCAATCAATGTTCATCATATCATTCAATCAATGTTCATCATCTCATTCAACCAATGTTTATCATCTCATTCAATCAATGTTCATCATCTTATTCAATCAGTGTTCATCATCTCATTCAACCAATGTTCATCATCTCATTCTATCAATGTTCATCATCTCATTCAACCAATGTTTATCATCTCATTCAATCAATGTTCATCATCTTATTCAATCAGTGTTCATCATCTCATTCAATCAATGTTCATCATATCATTCAATCAATGTTCATCATCTCATTCAATCAATGTTCATCATCTTATTAAATCAATGTTCATCATATAACTAATGTGAGACATGCATATAAAGAAAAATATGAAAATGACGTCTCGAGATCTGACAAGTTGCATTACGTAACTTTACAACTATACAATAATTTTAGTTGAAATATTTTTCTGCAGAAGAATGTACAAATTATAATTAGTTTCATTTGAAGACGTCAACAAGTTTCAGCACGGAAAGAAAAATCTCGCATGATTTAACGTTGAAAATTGTTCAAAATTTTCATTTGACAAATCACATTTCAACATTCCTAGAAAACTTTAAGAAAAATCTAAATGAACCTTTTCGAACTATTCTTGGGCAACTATAAGCAATGTAATCACGCGACGCTTGTTAGGTTCATTTAAATCAAGTACCTAAACGTGGTTCCACTTTTTATTAATTATTCTAAATTTTTAAATTATTCCACTAACTTGAAACATTCAAAATCATTAAAAAACAATTAAATCTAAAAAATTTAAATTTTTGAACTAACAAAGACTGAATAAAGATGGAGCATAGAAAAACGAAAATCAATCAAAGTGGTTCGATAGCTTTGCAGAATTTTAAATTATCGCCGGTTGATGTGTGTGTGTCAACAGTTGCTCGTCTCGTCCGACGTGGATTTGGAATTAATGACCAGCGAGCATTTGCTGACATTTCCAGGCCTATTGAATGCATAAATCACAGACCTATGTTAGAAAAATCTGCTCCTAATCAGCAGAGATTTTGTGTCACAACAGGGTCACAACGTGCCTCCATCCGGCAAAAATCAATGCACAAATACCAAATGATTATTAATTGTCGTTCAAAAATGACAAATGACATTATTCATTAAAAATTTTGTCAGTTTGTTTTTGAGTTCACTCCTGAGATAATTTTGATTGCTGCTTGTCACAGTTGCATTCTTGGTTATCTATAAACGTCACAAACGCAAGCATCACATTTTGCAGCTTTTTTGCACAAGCGTAAGAAAGGTATTGGACTGATTCACGCTAAAAAGTAGACTATTCTGTTTTTTAAATATTTTTATTAGCTAAAACTTTAAAAGAAAACAGTGTATATTAACTTCAAAATACAATTAATATTTAACAATTTACACGGAAGGCCTGCAAAGTCATATGTTAGAAATATCGTTCGAAGGGGTGCGAGTAAAGTTCTGTGCGAGGTGTAGCTTTGATTTTATATCATTAATGCATGTCCTTATATAATCATAAAATGGGAAAGCATCAGTTTAGATTGCATGCTGCTGAATTTTCTTTCCATATTTAGTAAGTGCATTGATGGTTGTTGGTTAGTTGGCAGGATGGCTGGTGTACTGTCGTTCGGATCAACTACCTGACCTCTTCAAATGGAATACGTTCGGTCAGCTCATTCTCAGAACATAAAATTACAAATAAATTATAAACTTATGAGCGCAAAATTGCACAGAGAAAATTGGAAAAAACAATAATCAAACAAAATTTTTAAATATTTTATATTGTTATTAGTTAGTTTTTTTTTATATAATTTCAATTTTTTTTTGTCGAATGAAAAATTGTTCAATTTTTGTGAAATGCAAGTGTTAATTTAAAAAAATTAAAATAATTAACGTTTGCCCATGTTTTATTTAAATAACTTTTATTATTACCTGTGGCGGACTTAGACGGGAACCGGGGAAGTATTGGCCCCCTCGTTGTGGGCAGTTTTTTTTATAGGAAGTCAGAAAAATGACCGTATTATGCGTAAAATCAACCAAAAATTGAATGTGATAAGCAAAAAAAGATTGTTAGCCACACTACCACAGATCTTGACCCTCTCGTGAAAATTTTGGCTCCCCCGTAAAAATTTTGGCTTCTCCATGAAAATTCAAACATTTTCAAGTTTTTGGCGCATCCATCAAAGTTGTCTAGATAGCCACTGATTATTACTAATTTGAAATTCTTATTTTATTTATTTCCATGAAAGGATTTAAGTTGAGATAATAAAATATCAGCTGAATATAAAAATGGCAGTCACTTAATTGGAAGCAAAATTAGTTTCTGTCTAATATACGTTGACGAACTAAAGGAGACCGTTGGAAATACTAGGGCATCAAGCTCTATGGCATTCATTTGACGTTTTGAAATGAATACCGCAAAGATGTTAAACTTTTAAATAAATTTTTGCATCTATCAAATATGAAAGATATAATACATTATCAGAAAATTATCAGAACATCTATGAAGTGCTAATCAAATTAATATATCAAAGGCAAAGTTTCGAAAGATTGTGGCTTCGGTTTCTGCAGCTTAGTTGTTAAATTATTGTTATCATATTAACTAATTTATGTTGTACAAAAAACAGATGACAAAATATTTTTTCACAACAATTAACTGCAAGGCACAGCTGATATAACCTCGTATTAATGCAACCAGCTAACAACAGAATGCAACATCGGACGGCAACGTACTTGCAACACTTACAACTTGAAAAACAATAAGTGATAACTTACTTACAACATCATATAACAACAAAGAGTCAGGCAACAACATGCAACAACACGAAACCAAAACAACAACGTACAACGACATACAACGACATACAACAACAACATACAACAGAATACAACAACATACAACAACGTACAACAACGTACCACAACTTACAACAATATACAGCATCAGTTCACCCATATTGGTGCAGTTCTACGCGTATCCTTTATAAATGTCGATGGCGACGCAATTTAGAGCATCAATAACAAGTCATATGCTTTTTATCGCCCGTGAATGATTCTTCCCATAGCCAAAATACATCACGCTAAAAAGTGCTGTCTAAATGGAAGGCAGCGTGAAAGCAATAATAAATGAACCAGCTGATAATTTGATTGGTGAATGATTGGGTCTAAGATGGAAAAAAAAAATTATTGTTCAAATAATATTTTCAAATGTTGAAGATTTCTTAAGTTTGTAATGTTGAATCAGAATCATGCTCTTAAAAGATTACAATATTTATTTAGTTGAATGAATGTTTACCAAATCTAACCAATGACGGTGACGTTGATTGGAGGAGAAATGCGCCCTGCCCCCATGCTGGAAAGAGGAAGGCAAGTGTAAGCGCCTGCGTCATCTTCACTGACGTTGCGAATAAACAACTTGTAGTTGACGATTGAGGATGACAATGACGATGATGACGAGGATGAAGATGAAGAATCTCCAGCTGATGAGATAAAGTTGGTTTCATAATTTGGATAGTCTTCAAGTTTCGACGATTCAGTTTTTGTTACTTGAATCAGTTTATCTTCTTTGAACCACTTAAGGGTGCTGATTGGAGGGTTGGCGTCCACAGGGCACGTGATGTAACTCTCCAGACCCCGCATCACAAACTGCAACAACTTCAAGTCTTTTACTTTCGGAGCATCTAACATTTAAAAAAATTAACATACGCATTCAACTGGAGACAATAATAACACAGGGAAATAAAATCATACGTATTTAGATATATTTGTGAATATTGAAACAATACAAAAAACAACAAAAATTATCATATGATGGAAAATATAAAAAGAATTTAGTTTACAGAATGTTAAAATATTTTGAGGTGCTGACAGCGTGGATGTTCAAATAATTTATTCTTGCAAGCTGAAAGTGATCCAACCAATTTTTTTAGAAACTTTGAGACGACAAAACAAAAATTTCAAAACAACTCATAAAGATATTTTATTTTGTTTTGCAAAAAATGAGTGGAGAGGGATTGAGATATTTTTGCTGGAAACTGGCGAGAAATAATTCTCTGCAAATTATGTATTGCCAGTTGTCCAAACTTTACACATTACACGCCTGAAATTATTTCAACTTTTAACTATCTCCAAAACGTTTTAAACTTTAAATTGAGTTTAGTTTATAAAATTTAAAATATTTATAATATTAAATAAAAAGAAAGATTATATAAAAATATTTGTTACCAGCGTAGAAACCTTTTTACATAAAATGTGGTTACTCAAAATTGATCACAAGTTAAAATTTTTAAATTGCCATTAAAACCCCTTAAACAAAACAGATAATCTTCATATGCAAATTCAAATGTAAAAGCAAAAATAAAACGACAGAGCCTGCCACTGAACAAATTCGAAACGTACGCAAACAGAATGAACGAGAAATAAAAAGTGGCGAGTTTGCTATCAGACAGGACTGGAGCAAACGATCAATCTCATATTCTAATTGCTGCCCGGAGAATTACAGCTTCCTATATTGACGATAATGGTCTGTTAAAACACTAAAAATGCGATAGAAAGCCCTTGCACGGCCGGCATATATAACATCATCCAAATGCAGAATCAGTTGACTTCTGCCGCGAATATGCATGCGGGACACTTGATTTTAAGACTACTACTACTTTTTGCAAATGTTAGTGCAGAAAACATTATAACTTTGTTATCAGTTGGAAATTTAATATTCTTTGAAGTTTATTTCAAACACGTGCCGGCTAAGCCTGGCATCCGATAAATTAAATTATCCACAAGAAAAAAAAATATTTAATTTAAAAATAACACCCAACGTGTCAATATAACATAGTTTTTTTCTTTGCAAAAATAATAAAATTTTATTTTTAAATATTTAAAAATCTACCATTATGAATAGAACTTGGTTGTTAAGAGAATTTGAATAGTGCGTAATTAAAATAACGGCATTGAACTATGGAAGACGCTGTAGTGAGTGAATTTTTAACATCGTATTTGTTTAAACTTTTTCAGTGTTACAAGAAAATAAAAAAAATTAGTTTTTATGAATAATAATAACTCCAATATAAATAACAAATACGTTACGGTATTTTGTTGCAGTGGACAGAAACATTCTTGCATTTTGGTAACACCAGTGCGACGAACTGTGCCATGAAACATTCATGACGTGATCACAACGAATCATTAAACGCGAGATTGCATGCGTGCTGAAACTGCGCATTATCAATAACAGATGATGCTTAAATGTACAAATTAGATATGCTTCTTCCAAAATTTTGTTTTTCATCCACGGTTGGTTGATAGTTTATATAGTGGTTGTAAGTGTAATGATGCTGCTTGCACTCAGTGAAAGTTATGTCTAAAAGATTTGTAAATATAAATAGATAACAACTGTTTCCGAACAGGGGTTGTTTCGGGTTTGTTATTAATGAATTTATTAAAAAAAAATCTATTACAATCTACTAACATGTGACGTTGAGAAATGCAGAGGCTTCAGGCGACTGAACTACTCCATTGTAGGGCTTACATTTGTACCATCCCATGTTCTTCTCGCTGACGTTCTTCATCAGGTAGCCTCCGTCAGCTTGCACGCCTGAGCTGCTCGTTGCAATCATTTAGATTTCAGTAATTTAGGTCTCATACATTTTCTTTCATTTTCAATAATAAAAAATTTTTATGAACTGTTTGAAAATGTAACAACAAAGAGTTTAAATGAGCTAACAGCTGAAAATGGTTTACTTTTCAAGCAATCTACTGACTGGAGTTTGAATGATCTTGTCATTGAAGTACCAGTTGTACGTAATGTTGCTTGGAAAGGCTTCCACCAAACATTTGAATTTGACCTTTGAACCGAGAGTGGTGGTGACGTTGCTGGGACCATCGATGATTTGCATGCTGCCTGTCAACAATCGTCACGCACGTAATTCATTTTGTCATCTCTCGTAACATATTATCCACATGTGCAACGTTGGCAAGCATTCAAATTGTTCGGTTGAATTAAAGTTAAACAATGAAAGAATATGTGCATTTGGCTATTAAATCATATTTACAAGACTACAAAGTTCAACGAAAATGATACCTCAGCATAAAAATCACGATGTATTATTTAATTCAATTGTACGTTTTGACAGGATTAACGTGATTCGCACACGAACAGAAAAATTTCCACGAATCAATGATAAAAATGTTTGAATGCTCGGAGACAAAAAGGAATATGCACTCATAAATGCAAATGGAAGACACTTCGGTAGCATGGTGAATTATGGAGCTGCCTGCTTATCTGATGACTGCCAACTCGACGAAAGCATAAAACACCACGCACCGGAGATGCTTGCATTTCATTTTTTTATATAGAACCCGACGAACGTGAAGGAGTCACATGCATCAGCATCTTCCTCCTCCTCCTTCTCCTCCTCCTCCTCCTCCCACTCCATGATAGCAACGTCACTTCGATAAACAAATCCATAGCGAAATGAACTTACACAAACAACCGATACAACAACTATAACGACATCTTTTGTAGCGTGCCAAGAAGAGGATTTCATAAAAATAAGCTTTGTTTGTGCTGTTTTGATACATGGTGGGTTAAACATTGAACGGGGAGTCGATCGTATAGGAATAAATATAAAAAATTTAAAAACGCGAATGGGTTTTATGTGCTCATGCATAATCATGTGTCTATATGTATGTACGCATGCCTATGTGAGTGTGCGCGCGTGTGAACGTATGTTGTAGTGTGTGTGTGTGTGTGTATTTGTATGTTTTCGTGCATGTGTGGTTGAGTTTGTGCTTGTGAAAAGATAGGTAGCCATCAATCGAAGTTAGGATTATTGTCTTTTTGAGATCTCGTAATGTACGGCTGTAGTTATGCCATGCAATTCATTTTCTGCATGCAAATGTTGAGTTGTTGGTTAGTTATCTTTATGTCTTTCATTTGTTCTTCGTCTTACATAAATGTTTTATATGGCATGTTATGACGAGCTCATTGAGGTCTTCGTCGGATCGCTTCTCACATTCACGTCTGCCTGCTCGTTCGCGTGCAATCAACGGACGGGCTGGCAGGCATACAACAACTTGGAAAAAATTATTTAGGAGTCTCTTACACAATGTCGAAGAAAGTTTTGATAACTTTTTAACTCTTTCAGCCATAAGTTTGTTTTAGATTTTAAAATGTTTAGCTTATACTTTTTTACCTGATTTTCAATTTCTTTTTCAAGCAATTCGTTTTATTTTCAGTAGCAAGCATAAAACACCAGGCAAAAGCGTCCTGATGAAAAATTGATGTTGAAAAATTGCCCTTTTAGCTTCGCATCAAGAAATGTTTTTGTGTATGTGCATGAATTTATTAAAACTGATCGTATATATATATATATATATATAAGTATAATATATATATATAAGATATAAGATATAATATATATATATATATACATATATATATATATATATATATATATATATATATATATATATATATATATATATGTGTGTGTGTGTGTGTGTGTGTGTACATACATGTATATAGATATAGATGTATAAATATATAAATACATATATAAATACATATTAGAGTTTTTTCATTTATAAATTATTTATAAAAATGTTAAAAGCATCTTGATTAACGGTAAAATTTGTCAAACGACTTACTAAAAATCGAATATAAAAATAGTCAAAGTATTCCTAACTTCAATGCAACCTCACATTCACAACTCAGCCATCGCCATTGCCCTAGCGTTTTTCCCCTTCTTTTCTAAATATATTTTCTTTTAGCGGCTTCGATTTTGTGAAAAGCGTTGGCAACCTTGTTTGATTTTTAACAATATAAATCAAATAACCCAGTTCTTCAATAATAACAAAATTTTATTGCTGATGGGAGTCTTAAGCAGTTTCTAATGAAATTTCTTTAGATTTAACGTAAACCCTAGCAAATTTAAAAAAAATTTATCATGGAAGGTTTCTGCCCCAAATGCCTCCAGGACCACGTCCCTGTTTACGTGCAAACTACTTCTTATTGTGTCATCAAACGTGAAATTTACATTCCAAAACTTTTCGTCTCCCTAAATATTTGAAAGTGGATTTCAAAAATGTTTTACATTCAAAGATAGTTATCTGGCGAGTTTATCAGATGATAAAGCAAGTGTAAAGAATGCATCATTCAAATTCCGAGCAGAACATATTCATCAAGATGAAAATGATGACACCTGGCGTTGTCAAATGCATCAAATCTTTAAATATTATTCCCTCTCCTCCTTCTCTCGTTCTTTCTCTCTCTTCTCAGTTTCAAATTTTAAAACCAGGAAAAGCTATTTGCATTATTTTTATATAAAAATATGTGGATAATTTCAAGCTGTGAGCAAGTTTTACTTCTTTACAACTGAACTAACCATGCTTTATATTTTTTTAATGTTTTATTGTGCAGCTCCAACGAACGCAAAGTTGGTTACATGTCATTTTTTAGTTGCATTCTATTGAACACGTGTCAAGTTTCTTGTGGTTTGGACAAACAGTATTCGAACCAGGTGAGCACGCAGCGATACCCACCTGAACCCAGCTCTCCTACCTTCTGCGCTAACACGTTAACCCCTCACAAAACTTAGGGACAAGCTGGTTTTGTTGAAGCTTTGAAAAGTTTTACAAAAAAATAAAATTTATCTAATTAGTCAAAATAAACAGATGGTCAATAAAAAACTAACAGATAATAAATTTTTGAAATGTTTCGTAACAAAATATTTTCAGCGATGAGTCCAAATGGAAATTGGTTTGTGTTTCATCATTTGAAGGCTCTACAATATTTTCTGCTAAATTCGCGATTTCGCTTTCTCAAATTCTTTAGTTTCTTGCTGAGATTAATAGATTGATTGAACCCTTGATGGGATTTTAACCTTTTCATTTATAACTTACGATTATTTAAAAAAATTTTCTATTGTTATGTAAAAACTTTTGAAGCCCTCTTTCCACCCCCCTGCAACACTCCACGATGGAATCTTACGCCCCTTCCTAGCCTTCTGCAGAGGAACTAACTAACACTCCAACTACTCCAAACAAATTAAATGGAACCATGTAGAACTTTTTATAATAAAATTTTATATTTTTTGCGAAGTATGAACTACAGAGTAGTAAATCGATACTGTTATTAAATATTAAGCTTGATAAATGACAACGTGCGCTAAAGTGTGTTGGGAACGTCGGAAAATGAAGTCTGAAAGAACAAAACTTGAATGACTATGTGTATATTTTCATAACGAAAATTGTAATAAATTTAATTTAAATTAAAATAAAACAGTCTGAAAGCTTTAAATTTATCAGCTTGAGCATGTTGAAAAAAGGTTTGAAATATTTTTAAGCAGCGTGTCTTCAAGGTAATTCGGTGAGTGACACTAAATAAATCTTCAGCACAATATAACGTGTAAGGCATATTTCTTTTATATAATGCTCACACATGTGCTGTATAAACGTGCTATCCCTGATATGAGATTGTATATAACCGACGTAGCGGCATATATTTCGAAAATCAATGGCCCTATAGAAAATTGAAGCAATAAATAAGAAACAATCGACGAGCGATTTTCATGAAAATTTTCCATGCGTGGAAACGGAGAGTGAGTGGATGTCTTGCCGGTCGATGTTTGTCGGTCAATGTAATTTTGATCATTGCTGCCGCTTCAGTAATTTCAGTTAGCTAATGTTTCTGTTTGGTGATATTTCAATATGTTGAGGTTTCGGTTTTTTGGTGTTTCGCTATGCCAACTTTACAGTCTTTTGATGCTTCAAAACACTAATGTTTTAATTATTGATGTTGCTAATGTTTTAATATGCTTTGAAATAGTTGGACAAATTTTTTTCGTACACCAACGCCTTCGTTTAGGTGAATAATTTTTGACGTGTGAATCGGTCAGCTGCTTACTTAGTGCTTTGTTTTGTTTGTAGTATCCTTAAGTCAATTCATGAGAAGTGCTGTACGAATCCTGCAACACGATGCAATTCTGTTGATGAATATTCATGTTGGTAATAATTGTAGGTTGTTTGATGATTTAAATTAATTTGTCTGGATATGTGATTTTTTGTCAAATACATCAAATAAAAAAAGTTGATTTTATATTTCTACTTCAGTAAATTTGTTTAATTTTTGAAGATGACATCTGCTGAACAACATCACATCACAATCACGTTGATATTCAAATGAAACTATTTTCTAAATAATTTAGGCGCGCTTCTCAATTAAGTTTGTTGTTCTGAATATTATTTATTCAAATATTTTAATCAAAGTAAAAATTAAAAAAATATGTTTTTATGTTTTCTCAAAATTAAAATATGTTTAATTAAAAATAATTTGTTCATAAATGATCAAGCGTAGAACGTCGTTGAAAGCGTTTGAAGACAGCCGATGTCTAATTAAATAAACCTTCGAACGAAGAAGAAATGCCTAATCAGATAAATAAAAGATAAGCAATGAATATAAGATCTAATTTGTCCGGTTACAATTCCTCTACTTTACTGCAGCCGCTAATCCACGGCCCATTGCGTAAATTTTCGTAGCAGATAGCATCCGAAACGGTCGTAGAAGCAAGATAAAACCGTGCAGCTCTATCGTAATAGACTCACAAATTCTATCTAATTCTACCTTTCTCTCTCGTGTAAAATCTAAAAACTCTTATTTGCATATGTAGATGTAATGAATAGCAATGTAAGAAAATATAAAAAGGCTCTTAGGTGCTAATGTCTTCATTGTTTATGACGACCGGCTGGTTTTGGAAGTGTTTTAAAATTTTTGTCGACAATTTTATTTTTCATTTTACTGTGTTAATTGTTTTTAAAAATTGTTAATTTACGATAAGATATGAGATATATATGACATTTAAATTATGTTTATGTACTTTCTATACTGCTAAATGTAGTATAGAAAAATAAAAAGAAACTCCATAATTGGAGGTGAAAATGGTTGCGATGTGTCATAAATAACATAGGTACGGCAATTTTAATTACTGGGTAAAATATTTATACTCTAAATGACTTGTGTATTACTTTGTTATTTAAGAATGCAGACAAATGATACATTGATTTTATTTGAATTCATAACAAGGCCCAACTCTAATTGATGAAATTTACGTAATTGAATAAAAATATTTTTATAAAGAAGATAGTTCATGCTACATTAAAACAACATACCATGCCGTAAGAAGCCTAACAAGCTGATCAATCACGAAGATTTAAATTATTTATAAGACCTGCAACATCACATGAAACAAGTATTTTTACATCTAAACAAAATCTGGAATAAAACAATGCAAAAAATGAAACTTTACTGAAGCTATTAATTGATTACGTTGAAAATGTAACAGACATTTGCATTACCTGTTAATGATCCATCAGAGCCTAGTTGAATGCAAGTAAATAAACCAAAAACTAATTTTGAATAACGAAATCGCAAAAAATGATAAAATTACAAAGCCTAACACTTCTAACAAAAACATTATTAAATTTTGTTGAAAGAATTTTGGGAAATTTTTTGAATACTTGTTTTCATTTTGAACAGCTAAAAAAATATGCCAAAATTCATTCAAACGGTGAAATTCTAGACAGTGGGAGACACATTTTACAAATGAAAATTAAAAACACCAAAGAAACACAGAGGCAAACGTTCTTACTCCAACAGCAGCACACACAAATTCACATCTCCTGACCAGACAGACATGCAAACAAACAAACGAACAAATACAGAGAGAGAGAGATATGAACATGCACGGACATTGTTGGAAGCATCATTACTATGAGCACAGCCGCTCGTGAAGTGCATTAGCGTTCATTAACATATTCATTGCGGGGTGCTCAATTCACGTGTGCTTCTTTATGGTCCATGCATGTATATCTCCCTAACATTATCATAAATTATTAGCGGTCTGCTTGCTCTTTCGTTTTTTGTCACATGGCATTGTTTATTATTATTGTTTTTTACTGGCACACTCATAAATGTTGCTGTTACATTTTTTAAAATGTTGGGGCTTTCAAAAGTGACAACATTAGTTACAATTGGCAAAATACATTCGTTTGTCATCCTTTGGACTCACCAAAAAACAAAATTAATTTGAACATAACCATTTAAAATTTCTAGATAATTAAAAAACAGAAATAGTTATAAATGTATTGAAAGTAATGTAAGCATACAAACCTTGCACAAGCAGTCTTATCAAATGAGAAATCTGACCGAAATCATTTTTGAATCGGCATTCGTAGACACCGCCATCGCTTGCCTCCACAGCTCTGACGAGAATTCTATCTTTGTAGAGGGTCACCTTGTCACTTTGCACCAAGGGCACTCCGTCTTTGAACCAGGTTACTTCGGGTTCAGGAGCACCAGAGGCTTCACAAAACAAATCAACGTCATCGCCAGGCTGCTGTACGAGGAAGCTAGGTGATTTGTCGCCGAACGTTGGACTGGCTGTATGGAAATAATTTCCAACTATTACAAATTTTTGTTTATATTTGCTGGCTTATTGATTTTTTGTTTTATTCCTATTTAATAACATGAAACTCTGGAATAATTTAAATCAATAAAATGGCACACAAATATTAAATGATGAAAAACGAACAAATCAATGTGTAAAAAAGTGCAAGGGTTATGATCAATAATTGATAAATAAGTTAAGAGATTTATACATTTCAAAGAACGTTCAACATCTCAACTGATGTATATCAGATTTTGATGAGCTCGCGGCGGTCACGTTGTTTACTTGTCAACGCATTTTTAACTCAATTGTATTTGTCGGTTGGTAAAAAGAACATGCTGTAAGTTTTTTGCTCTAACTTTTTGATAAACAATTTTTTTTTTACAAGCCGCAGTCCCATCAGATTTGTGTTACCCACACGCACGCAGCTGCAACCACACAAACCACCATCTAAACCACCATCAACAACAACCACACTTAAGCCATCAACAACAGCCACACGACTCAACTACGTTACTGCAAACCACCCTTAAAAAACTTCACCAACAACTTCACTCCTCTCTTTAACTTTTTCATGTGTACTTCCCCCCTCTCTCTTTTATTTTTGCAGTCAATAATGAAGATGATAAATTTTGATAAAACTTGTATTTGTTTACGCGGCTTAAACAGAAAAAAAATTCAATAAAAAATTTTCTAAAATAAAATTAAAACTTAAAAAATTGCTTATTCTAGTAAAATATTTTAGTTTGTCTCTATGAAAAAATCTAGGCATAAATAATGTGAAATACTGTCAGAATGTAATGGGAGTTCTGTACCAGTGCGTTCATGCTTATTCAGCACAACAATGATGTTCAACTGCATCTATGTGCGTGAGAGGTTTTTTGAAAATTAACATCACAGTGATCTCAATGTTAATAATAATAATATAATGAGGATGATGATGATAATAATAATAATAATTATTATTATTATTATTATAACAATAATAATAATAATTGCAGCAATAAAACAACAACAGCCACAAAATACAACAATATTGACGCAAAAAACTCTGTACTTAAAAAAAAGGCAAACAAAAGCATTACTGAAAACATGATGAAGGAAACAGCATCAATAACAACTGCCACGTTAATAATGATAGGAGATAGTATAATGGTTAAGATGCCTGGTCCTGTTGATGCCGTGACCGACTTCGAATGCAAGAAAATCCGATGTTTGTGATGCGTAGAGTCATGCGTTTTTATATGTACCATGTGTGTTTTATTAAAACATCAGAAAATTATTAAAAAATTGTTAATTGTGATTGTAGTTATACTCATTATAAATAATATAGCAATGATAAAAATGTTAATTTCAATATTGACGGATGGTTAATTGATTGACGATGACAATAATAGAAGAAAATTCAAAAAATTCTTTTTAATTTTTGTGTAAATGGTTGGAAATGAACTCTACGAACGGTTGAAATATTCATCCAACATGATCCAATCTATCGGGTTTATTGTATGTTTATTGTATGTCTTTTTTCATAACCACATTAATAATTCAAATTTTAATAGTATCAACTTGTTAATAGTGAATTCCAATTTTTATATTTGTAAAAAAAAATTCATATAAAATTCTTTTGACAGGCGATTTGAGATACTGCAATTCATCTTTTATGCAAGTGTATACTTCATGTTTCTCTAGATTTTGAATATTTCGGCTACTATTAAAAAAAATTGCATTTGACAACGAAATACACATGTGTGTACGTATATCATTGATTAAAAAACATCAATAATAACAATAAACATTATTTTTTATTGTTTTAATCATTTTTAATATTATTATTATTATTCCTATTTCTACCATTATTTCTATTGGCAAGAATTGCCCACGAGCGCATTAAAATCAACTATCCGCAGTCACACGATGTATATGTATGTGTATGTGTGTATCTGCATGTTTGTTTGTTTGTGTGTATATATGTGTGTGTGTGTGTGTGTAACCTCATGTTTGTTTGTGTGTGTGTGTGTGTGGATGTGTGTATCTGCATGTTTGTTTGTTTGTGTGTATATATATGTGTGTGTGTGTGTGTGTGTGTGTAACCTCATGTTTGTTTGTGTGTGTGTGTGTGTGTGTGTGTGTGTGGATGTGTGGATCTGCATGTTTGTTTGTGTGTATATATGTGTGTGTGTGTAACCTCAGGTTTGTTTGTGTGTGTGTGTGTGTGGATGTGTGTATCTATCATGTTAATCTATAATACATGTTTGTTTGTTTTTGTATGTTTGGATGTGTACGTGTGTATCTGTATGTTTGTTTGTGTGTGTGCATCTGTACATTTGTGTGTGTAGTTGTGTTTGTTTTATTTAAATGATATATGAATTGGAGCTATAAATAACAGCAACTACGTCATCCATCCTCTACTACCACCAATCAAAACTACAACACACAGCCTTCGTCAGCGCAAGGATAACTATCAAGGCGTCGCCCAATCTACATACCAGGCAAAGACCTTCATCACAAGACACCTCAAACATATTAGCACTTAAGAATACTTTATAATTACTGAACTAGTTTTTACTTATTGATCACCTCACTTTTATCGATCACTTCACTAACTCTCTAAGTCATCATCTAGTCTATCAATTTGACGTTACTTCATTTTATATTTCATTTCATTTTATATTCCATTGTCAATTACTTTTTCTTTATTTTTCTTATTATTATTATTTATTTTATTCTAACATATTTTATTTTTCATGTTTTATCATTTTTCTTCCTCACTTTTTGTATTTATTTTCTCACTTATTTGTTTGATTTTGTTCTACTGCCTTGCATGTTGTTACAGTTTCTGCGTCTGTCAGATCCTGATTTTTAAAGAATAATAAAAAAAAATGGATGTATTCTTTATCTTCTTCTTTGTTTCCTTATTATTATTATTATTATTATTGTTGTTGTTGTATCGTTTGTATAGCGCTTTTTATTCGTATGTACGGAGTTTATATGCATAAGTGTTGCTGGTGCATTTTGTAATGTTGAGATTTATTTATCACAATTTTTTCATAATCATCCACATCATCGTCATCATCATCATTACCACCATCCTTCTCCTCCTCATCATCATCGGCATCATCATCATCATCATCATCATCATTATCATCATCATCATCAGAACCATCCTCATCATCATTATCACCACCAATGGCGTCATCAATAGTTGACTGGCAATGATCGTCGTTTAGTTGACCGGCAATAAATCATGAAAAATAAAAAACAAAAAGAAATGTCCGAGTGGAACGAGTGAAGCAGTAGAACATGAGAACATGCATGCACGGCTCACAGGCATCACCATCCCAACGTCTGAGAAAAAGAAGTTACCGACAGAAGTTAGTCGGATCTAGGGGGTAGGAGGCCGCGGGAGGATCAGAGGCACCTCCCGCCTTGAACTGGGATTTTATTAAAAAGCATCACTAGCATATATTTGGTTAATTTCTTACCTTTGTTAAATTTCATTCCCTCACCATCCCATCAATGTTGGCTAGGTCTGCTACTGAGTGACAGCGAAATCAACTACAACAACAAAACACATCAACAACAAGAAGACATTAATAACAACAACAACAACGCATCAACAACAACACAACATCAACGACAACAAGGCAGTAGCAGAAACAACACAACAGTAGCAGCAACAGTAATGAAGTAACAAGGGAAATAACATTATCAGATAAGGATTCCCCGTGTAACGATATAAACTGAATGTTCAGAGGGAACTGCGAACAACCATGTGTGCATGCATGGGAGTGTGTCTGTCTGTTTCTCTGTTTCTCTGTATGTATGTACGTGTATATGTATGGATATATGAATATATGTATGTATGTATGTTTGTTTGTTTGTTTGTATGTATGTATGTATGTGTGAATGTTTGTATATAAACATAAATATATATAAATATATATATATATATATATATATATATAAGTGTACATTTATATATGTATGTCTATGTGTGTGTATGTGTGTGCGTGTGTGTGCGTGTGGTGTGCGTGTGTGTGTGTGGGTTTCACTTGCTCTTATCTTGTTATTCAAATGAAATTTTCCAATTTAACGTTTAATGGTGATAGTTGTTATGTCAGTGCGCCGGCGTTGGTGGTGTTTATTGATGTTTAGAGTGCTGCAGCTGATCTATCGAACCATCAATACCCATGTAAACATCATTTCCAGTTAGTACTGCTGAAAACTGCTCCTCACAAATTGTTCGGTTTTTGAGGTTTTTAAAAATTTCAAGTTTAAGACATTTCAAAGGATTTTTAAAGTTCAATTTCGAAGAGTAAAAGTAAAAATATCATTGAAATCAAATTCACACATTTTTCTAAAAAAAATCTTAAGATATAAAACGCTTACAATTACACTATATTTTTTTTTCAAATAACTAAAAACTTAAAATTGAACATTTTTGATAACTTAATTTTTTTAAAAAAATTCACTAAAAATTGTATTCAGAAAAGGTTCAATGTGTCTAAAAAACCATCAAAGCAGTGTTAGCGTTAGCTAATATCTGTTAGTGTGTGTGTGTGTTGTGTGTGTGTGTATGTGTGCGTATGATGTGTGTTACTTACCCATGCACAAATATTTTATAATGTATGTTCTACTTTAAATTATATATTGGAAACAATCAAACTGCAAAAACTTTTAAGTTTTCAAATTCTGTTAACAACTTTCGAATTTCCAAGTGACGTAACTATAAACGAAGTAATCAAAAATAATTAAGCAATAGAAGAGTTACGGCGTAGCTACTTGTTCTCCAGTCACACAGGTACACATTAATCACCATCATAGTCATTATAAGCATTTTCAGCGTATAAAATCACTTCTTTAATTATATAATATGCACCAATAGCAACAACAACGACCACAACAACAACAACAGAAGCAGCAGCAACAACACTAACAACAGCGACAACATTGTTATAATTTTTTTGTTTCATTTTTTTTGTATTTCTTCTTAGTAATTTTCTAACGAGTTGTAGGGGAAAATGTGATGTTTGAAAAACCATAAAAGATTGTACCAAAAGTATGTCATAAAAAGTTAAAAGAATGAGAAAAATTAAAACAATGTCATTGCGTTGTAAAAACTAAGAAGACTATAACGCAGAGAAATGTAATGGTTGAAACGAAATAAATTATGCAAAGTTGTGGGAAAGACTTGCCATTTTACACACGCACAGACACACATCTAACATACACACACACACCACGTACACACACACAAACACACATCCCAGATGCACATACCAAATTATAGAATTAATGATTAAAAAAATACACAATGCATTTTTTATTATACACATTTTATTTACTGTTGAAAACTGGTTATATATTCCTGTATAAAGTGTTGTCTGTTTTTGGCTATAAAAATATGGGAAAATGCTTTTATGAAAATTTATAGTGGTTAAATAAGTTGATGATATATATATATATATATATATATATATATATATATATATATATATATATATGTATGAATGACATCTCATAAACACACCGTTATAGTTTTTACATTTTATCTGCAATTTTAAATCATTTTGTAGCTTGCCATAAAATATATTTCGTTGGAACAACTGTTTTATAGATGTTTTCGTTGGCGTTTTAAAATTCATACGGTGTGTTTGAATGTTTTTCAGTTGTTAAAGATTAAAAAGATAAAAATATTAATAAGCACAAAAAAATAAAGTTTTTGTTGTTGTTATTAACACTAGTGTCAGAAAATTAATAAAATTATTTATGAAAATAATTGACGAAAATTATTAGAAAAATATTATTAAAAAATATTGAAAAGCCATCCACAAGCAGTGCAAAGATCCGTTGCAACTGAC